ACAAAAACACCTCTGATGAATAAACAAAACAGAAACAGACCCATCGATATAGAGAATAAGCTGATGGTCACCAAAGAAGGGGGGGATGAGAGGAGAGAAGATAATGGCCATCTCGACCACACTTCAGTAACGATCTTTCACGCCACTTCACAGGTGTGTCTAGTAAAGTGAGTGTGATTTCCCAAATGATAGCATCACATGTCCTAGGGTTTCCTGCAAACTTATTAAGAAAATGGACGTTTCAGAGAATAACTGCTTTCAACATTCTTGCTAGTGCTGAGAGTTTAAAATGTTTGTAGCTTAAATGGCAAAAGAAAGTAGGAGAAAGCCAGCCTTTGAAAGATACCACGTGACCCACCGACTCAGTCATCTCCCTCCTCCAACACATTAAAGGCGGTGTCCAATCACGCAGCAGCAGGCAGCCTTGCAGAAAAGAAGATTATTCTGCATGAAGCTAGCTCCCTGTCACACAGGACGGGGGCCAGATTTCTGAAAACTCCCCCTTCCCTTCGTAGCTGACTTGAATTTGCCAAGAAGGGAACAAAATCAGCAACATCATCCCAATGGAAGGCCATCTGTGGCTTTTGAGGAAGGCAGGTGGCTGCATATGTGAAAGAAGCAGCCCCAAGTTTAACAGGATTCGTTTTGAGAAGCCAGATTTATGTCAGCTTCACTTCTAGGAAAACAGCAGACTAAGGACATTTATTTTCACTCCGAAAAGTGAGGCCACCAGGACACACATGTGGACTTTTGTCCCAGGCATGACAAGCGGCAGAGAAGCCATCTCCCGTGTGGTTACTGCCATCGAGGAGCTAACGCTGGTTGCGGAGACAAGAGGAACATACCTGAGAACGAGGGCGTGAAGATCAATGGTGCCGAGTAAGAAGTGTGGCTCAGGGGAGCCCGGGGCCAGAGGTACCCGAGTCAGCGGGCAACAGCCACTGTGAGCAGGCAGGTCAGGGGGCCAAAGTAGCCTTCAAGGGCCCAAGGACCCTCTCTATCTACTAGAGGCCCGGTGCATGAAATTCGTGCAAGGGGCTCGGCCCTCGAAGCTCTGGCTTCATCCAAAAAGTCATCCAGAAAGATGTCCGGAAGGTCATTCAGTTGTCCAGTCTAATTAGCATATTATGCTTTTATGGTTATAGATTGTGTGTCAAGGTATAATTGACGTTAAGATGCATGTATTTAAGGTGTGCAACATAATGTTTTGATATACATTGTGAGATGATCAGCACACCCAATCTAATTAACATCCGTCACTTCACATAATTACCATTTGAGTGTGTGTGTGTGTGTGTGTGTGTGTGTGGTGAGAACACTAAAGATCTACCCACTTCGAAGATTTCAAGTACCAGATACAGTGTTGTTCACTACAGCCACCTTGCTGTGCGCCAGATATTCAGATCTTACCCATCTGGCACAGAAGCTGTACCCCTCAAGCAGCATTGTCACTCCCCAGCTCCCTTCCCCAGCCCCTGGCAAACACCACTTAACTCTCCGCTGCTGTGAGTTTGACTAGATTCTACACATAAGTGAGATCAGGCAGGTTTTGAGTTTGTCTGGCTCATTTCACCTAGCATAACGTCCTCCAGTTTCATCCATGCTGTCACAAGTGCAAGATTTCCTTCTCCTTTAAGGGTGAATAATATGCCAGTGTGTGTGTGTGTGTGTGTGTGTGTACTTGTGGTAATCTATAATAATAAGAGCATAATATGCATATCTACCCAGTGGCTGAAAAGCAGAACAATCTTCGGATGCAGCCGGGGCTGCCCCGGTGCACGGTGGGTTAGTCTCTGTTGAAAGTCTGGGGCGTCCTCCTGCGATTTGGACCTGGTGTCTCCAGGCTGGTTTCCGGAGGCCTGGGAAATCATGTGGCGTGAGTGGAGGGTCCGTGTGCTGTAATGAAGACAGCTCGAGGCCACGTGAGCACGTTTCAGGCGGGGAGGGGCGCGGGGAAGGGGAAGGAAAAGGGTGAAGAGGGCGTGGGGACTGTAGTCAGGCTCGGCAGTCACTGCTGGATGAAGCCGGAGAGACTTACCTTAACAACCGGCAGGTGAATGCCTCTGTCAGCTGGTCTGTGCTGTGAAGACGATGGGGTTGCATTTGTGTGTGAAAACCATGAGGTCTCTGAATGATCACCCCTAATCTAACTCCACGGGGGGTGCGTCTTAATGACTCCCGTCCGCCGGCTCCCTGGCAGTGCCGGAAACTCGCCCTGCACGGAATTAAGTGATCTCCGGATACATTTTAAATCGTCCGGGCTCCTCCCGCCCTCGCAGCTCTCCCCTCTAATCACGCCATTTGTTCCTCGTTGAATGTTTACTCCCACCGCTGCGTTCGTCAGAGCCCCATTGGGGGGGAAAGGAGGAAAATATCCTAAAAATCAAGCCTATTCCTAGCTGAGATGTAATTACTCTCAGAGTACTTGGCATTTTGAAAAATGTGCTGCGATTGTATTGAAAAACCAAGAGCGCAAAGATCAAGTTGCCCTTGGCTTTTGCAAAGAAAGGCTCAGAAGCCTTGGGGTGAGATGATTGTAGGACCAGGCCCGGCTGGGTGGAAGCCAGGGCCCTTTTGCTTCGGACGGCAGCCCCAGGGAGCTTCCTAAGAACCGCTGCGCAGAGGAGCTGACAGACAGCTTTGCTGCGTGTCCCCGGCTTACACGGGGTCGCTCTGGTCTCGCTGTGCACTCGGCCGCTGCTTCCTGTGGGAGCTCACCCGCCCTGGGTGTCCAGCTCACGCTGAGGCAAAGCAGTGACCACACTGACCTCTACCAGCGATCTCCCCTGAGACTCTGAGGAGACAGGGATGGCTCGGTGAGACAAATACAGCATTGTGTGTGCGTGTGTGTGCGTGTGCGTGTGTGTGAGTGTGTGTGTGCACGTGTGTGCGTGTGCGTGTGTGTGCATGTGTGAGTGTGTGGATGTGTGTGCATGTGTGTGTGTGTGTGTGCGTGTGCATGTGCGCGAGGAGACATATCCAGAACATACTGATAAAGGAGTGTTTAGTAAACAGGATTATCTAAACAAATGGCAAACAGATGCATGAAAAGATGCTCAACATAGCCCCGCCAGTCTGGCTCAGTGGATAGAGTGTCGGCCTGCAGACTCAAGGGTCCCAGATTCGATTCTGGTCAAGGGCATGTACCTTGGTTTCGGGCACATCCCCAGTAGGGAGTGTGCAGGAGGCAGCTGATCGATGTTTCTAACTTTCTATCCCTCTCCCTTCCACTCTGTAAGAAATCAATAAAATTTGTTTTTAAAAAAAGATGCTCAACATCACTAACCGTCAGGGAAATGCAAATCAAAACCACCGAGAGATACCACTTCACACTTGGTAGGATGCCTGTCAACAAAAAGACCAAAGATGACAAGCGTTGGTGAGAAGATGAGGAGGAACAGAGTCCTCGTGCACAGCGGGTAGGAGTGAAGATGAGCACAGCCAGATGGAAAACAACATGGAGGTTGCACACAACATTTAAAATTAGACGGACCATATGATCCAGCCAGCTCCGCCCGGAGGACACAGGCGCGCCTGGGAGTGTGGACTCTGGAAGATGAGCAACTCGGGTCTGGACCCCAATTTCACCACTTCCTGACCTTGACAAAGCTCCTGAGTCCCTTGCTCCCACACAGCCCTGGGCCTTGACGGAGACACGCCCTCTACCTTAGCCAGTGGCAGTGAGGACCGATGAAGCCCGGCTCCTGGCTCGCAGTCTCACCAGAGCCCACTCTCATTCCTCTACCATTTCCCTCAGTCCCCTCTCCTTGCGCGCCCTTGCTGGAGGAGCTTGAGCTAAACCAGTGGTCGGCAAACTCATGAATCCACAGAGCCAGATATCAATAGCACGACGATGGACATTCCTTTGGAGAGCCACATTTTTAAACTTAAACTTCTTCTAGCTCCACTTCTTCAAACTCGGCCCAGGGGAGCGCCAGTTTCCTGTGAAGCAAGGGTGCCCTGCGGCCTGGGTCCCCTCAGCCAAGTCCCGCCAGCGTCAGGTGTGCTAGCCAGACAGCGGCCAGCCACACGCCTGCCGAGGAGATGGAGCCGGGGCGCAGAGCGGCAGGAACCACGCTGGGGTTCCCTCCTCCACACAACAGGAAAGGAACGCACTGTCCCCCTCTCTCCTCCCCCCCCCCCCCCCCCCCCACACACACACACACTTCGAGAACTCCCGCCGCTGTCTCCGGATCCTGGCTGGGTCCGCCTCTGTTCCACAGAAGCGGAAAAATCACTTATTAATTTGCATAAAAGCTCCCAGCGCCAGAATGTGACTACAAAGCTATCTTTGCAGAGCAAATTGGAATCCTCGGCTCTTGCTTGCGGACGACAAGCCATTCATCAGCGGCCCTAACTGTGGAGCTGAGGGTGTTTGCCTCCCATTGTCCAGGGCGATCAACACGGAGGCACTCCGTGAGTCTCAGCCCTCTGCACACCCACCTATAAAACCACCCCCTTCCCGGTCCCCGACCAGCAGACAAGCCCATCTTCCTGGGGGGAAACCCCCATTCGTCGTCAGTGTTTGTTACCTACGCTTTGCTGTCAGTAACAAGCATTCACTCGGCTTCTGTGCCTGCTTGGCGCCTCGTGGGCACTGAGTGGACACACCACCTCATTAGCCTCACTGGTGCTGGGCCTCAGGAGGCGTGCACTCCATCTGAAGGCGGCAGCCTTGAGAAAGAGCCCACGACAGTGGCGAGTGTGTGTCCTGTGCTGGGAGGGCACTGTCCTCGGGCATTCCACCGCAGACTAGTGGGAGGAGGGGACGGGATGGACCGAGGGAGAAGGGGGGAGGTACATTTCAGGTAAGAGGACCATCCATGACATTTAAATGTTTACATCCTGCTTTTATCAGTTTGCTTACGGACATCTGGTAAGTACCCAAATGGCGTGATGGGAGGTACCAGTGATTCGCTCCCCCGCCCTCAATGGTCAGGAGCCGGTGTTGGGACCATGAGAACAAAGATTGTGACCAGACAAAACCATTAACTCAGAAATAAAATGCAGTCATATTTAATTTCATTTTTACTAATACAAACTAGGTTAGCCACCCACTCTTCTCAATAATCTCACAGACGCCCTCTCTCTAGGAAAAGCTCAAAGAAAACGTTTCATCGGGCATGATCGGTGTTTGCAATACAAACATTCAAGTATTACACACGTTGGATCAGATTTATCACTGCATTTTAGTCCAACCGCTACCGCTGGGACACATGCAAAACCATCGTCACGTTTCCCAGGTGAAACTGTGGCGCAGCTCTGGATGCTATCGTGTTACCGATACCGCGGCTCCTGGCATCACACGTCAGCGGGCCGCGGGCGGCGGTGCGTGTGGATCCGCAGCCTCCGTCCAGCGCCGCGTGGCACACGCACTGCAGTGGCCGCAAGTGGGGAAGCGTGTTGCTCCTGATGAGCTGCTGACCGCGGGGCATGCAGAGGCGAGCCTGCCATGGTCGGCTATTCCGACCGTGCAGTCAAGAGGACGACGAGCTGGCGTGACCACAGGACGTTTCCCGCGTGCCCGGCAGCGTGTCCCACCACGCGCGTGGCGGGGGCAGCCAGAGGCCCGGTCGCCGTGGGAGGCGGGCCGCACCGCCCGGCGGAGTCAGCGCACCCGCCTGGACTCAGCGTCCCGCTCCCCGAACGCGCGGCCCGGGCCCCGGCCTCCTCGCTAGCTGACCAGGCACGGGTCGTCGCCGCCCGGCTTGACCTCGCCGGCCAGCAGCAGGTTCATCACCACCTTGGTCAGGTAGCTGCAGGTGCCGCGCCGGCCCAGCGGGGGCGTGTCGTAAAAGGCGGTCATGTCGTCCTGGGGAGAGTGCAGGTGCCTGTGACTTTCTGGTGGGGGAAGGGCTGGCAGGGCCGGCTGGTGTGGCTCAGTGGCTGAGTGCTGGCTTACGTCCAGGAGGTCCTAAGTGCCCTGACTGGGTTGTGGGCGCATTCCCAGTGGGGGGCGCGCAGGAGACAGCCGATCCCTGACTCTCGTCATTGATGTTTCTCTCCCTCTCCTCTCCCTTCCCCCCGGCCAGCCCGGGAAGATCGTCCTCCGGATTTCCTCCTGGAAAACCGCCTCCAGCGGTTTTCCTTCTCTTTAAAAAAAACCTTCTCTTTACCGGTCCTGAGGCGTCTCCTCAGCGAGCAAAACAAACACGACACTTCCCGATCCTCCTTTCTGCCGACAACGCGTGTTTCCTTGGGGCCCCTGACAGCTGGACACAGGACGTGCCACAGAGAGCCTGGGGGGTGCGCACCCCTCCCGGCCGGACCCTCCGCCTCGGGGCCGCACAGAACTGCGCCTACAGGAGAGCCCTCTTCCCGCTTCTTCCACAGAACCCACGGCCGGACTGCCTCACGGTTAACACAGAGGAGCCCTAATTCCCGGTCACTCCCACCTCCTGCCCCTCCCCGATTCTCCACTGTGCCCCTGGGACTCTGCAGGGCACAGGGTGAGAGATGGGGGGCCGCCTGAGGAACTGAGGCATGAAAAACACCCCCGAAAAGCTATGTGCTCTACTCACTTGATTTCCAACGCCCTTGAGCTGACTCTCGTCCTTCTGGAACTCCTGAAACGCTTCCCTCACCAGTCTGTCCAGGTCGACTTTGTCCTGGAACTCGAGCTCGGGGTTCCTTTCCAGGACCACGGACACGACCATCAGCAGCTGCAGAGACGACAGTGAGGCCGGGCGAGTGGCCGGCGGTGGCGGGCGGGCGGGTCCCCCCTCCCCGGCCAGGTCGGCCCCGGCCCCCGTGCGCCGTCCCCGCGCCGCGCACCTCCACGATGATCTGCCGGTACTTGGGCTGGTCGATGTTGCCCAGCATGTCTTCCACGAGCAGCGAGAAGTTCATCTCGTACATGGTCATGTCCGACAGCGTGGGTTGCTGGAACACAGAGCCCAGCGTCACCGCGGCACGGGAGCAGGGGGGGGACCCTGGCTCTACCAGGAGCTCCACTCGCTCCCCCAGAATCCCTCTCCGTCCCTCCGAACCCGAGCGCCCTCCAGCCCTGGGGCGGGTTCTCATGTCGCACCGTCGCCCCACAGCGCGCACGCCGCGGTGAGTGCGGGCAGGCGTCTGTGTGGCCACAGGCCGTGCCTCGTGCGGAACAGGGCGACGGGCTTAGAAAGCGGAATGCGTGGCAGATGCGTGCCAGACCCTCTCCAAGGAGTTCACCTGAACCTGTGGCAGACCTGTCCGAACCGGCGGCACAAAAATGCACCGAATCAGCAAGGACAGCGCCGTGTGCGGGGAAGGCAGGCAAACACAGAAACGAGCAAAACCAAAGGGTTGTCTCTGCCCTGCACGTCGCTTACGGCAGGAGGACTGCATGTGTGCCTGCGCCTTCCCCACACGCGGAGCAGCAAGGGCTGAACCGGAGCGAGGTGGACGAGGCTGAGTGTGGGCTCCGCCAGCAGGGCGGGCGGAGGGGCCAACATCCCGGCAGGGGCGGGCGGAGATGGCGAGTCACACTTCCCTACTTCCCGGGACTCCCCTCAGCCTCCCAACTAAGCCACCCACTCACTCCCGGGGCCCAGCCGGCCGCCCCGTCCAGTGGAGCCTCAGCAGCCTGTCCTGCCTGCGCGATGCGCCCTGCATCCCGGGGGCCGTCCGCGGGGCAGCCCCACCCGCCGCTGCAGCTCCAGCTCCCAGGCGCGCTGGCGGGGGCGGGGGCGGGGGCGGGGGCGGGGGCGTGCATGTGAGGGCGGATGAGAAAAGAGGTCTCCTCGTCCCACTGGACGTACGTCCCACCTGGATCACTTCCCTTTTCGGGTTCGGTGTCCCCCCCACCCACCCATGGGCCTGGCTCTCCGAGGGGCTGTTTGCTGGAAGGGTGACCTTCTCAGCCTCGCTCTTTACCCCCTGCCCTGGGCCCAGGGGAGCGCGCCCAGGACCTGGACTCGCGGAGAGTGCTGGCCATGCAGAGGGCAGCTCGGCCCCCCGCGGCCCCCTCGCCGAGGCCACGCGGCCGTACCTGCGGCAGGTGCTTCCCCGCGACCACCAGGCCGTTGGGCGTGCGCTCCAGGATCTGCCACACGCGGTCGTAGAACCCGGCGGGCGTTCTGTTCAGACACCCGTTGATCTGGCGCCGGTTCAGCCAAGACCTGCAGCAGAGGAGACGGCCTCAGAGCGGAGCCGCCGGCGAGGCCTGGCAGGGAGCCCGGCTTCCGGCAGGGGCCACCCTCCGAGAGGGAGCCGGGACCGCCAGGGACACAGACCGAGTCCGTGTCAGAGGGACTGAGTATTTCAGGGAAAAGCTTGCAGCAAACGAGGAAACATCGACTGCCTCTCACCCTGTCGTTAAATGACTCTAATAGGCAAAGCAGGTCATTTAAACACACAGGAGCAGCTTCAGGAACCTTCCGAAAGCCTCCTCCGTCCTAAACACGTTCTTCCATTCAGTGCGACCCACAAGGTTTTACCCGCTCCACCCTCAGCACAAGCCCAGGCTGCGGACGGGGTCAGCTGCGGAGGCGAACCTCTTCCAGGAGCAGGGAGCCGGCCCGTCCCCGAGCCGCGCCTGCGCCCACAGGAGGGGAGGAGGGGCGCCCACGGAGGCTCGGGCAGGGACGGGGGTGGGAGGAGTGCTGTGTGCTGCCCAGAACGATAAAGCGCACCCGAGACGTGTACCCGTTCCGGGCAGGGCCGAGTGACGGCCGAGGACGGTATTGCGATCCGCGTCCCTGCACCATCCCTGGGCCTTGGCGTTCTCCTTCCTATCTCCCTTCCTTCCTGCACGCGTCCAGCGTGGTCACATGTCCAGAGGGGCCTCTCACCGTCCGTTCTGCTGCGGCTGGAGGATGTCCATGAGGAGCTGCTTGACGGCGCTGGGCGACAGCTGGTACAGGTCCTCGGCGGCCTGGCCGCCCGCCCGGAGCTGCAGCTCGTACTGCATGGCGTGGATGATCCACCTGCGCGACGGGAGAGCGGGGCCGTCACCGGGCGCGGTCCCCTGGCTCCTGGCGGCCGCCCCGCAGACCGCCCACCGGGGGCGCGGGCGAGGCCACGCAGCTTCCCGAGCCCAGAGGCCCGCTCCCGTCAGGGCTGTGACGGGATCTGACCGCTGAGCACACGGCTGTGCCTGCAGACGAGGTGAGGCAGGAAATATGGACACCGGGTTAGAACCCGGGACCTTGCCACACGAGATCCCATCCACCGGGCACCAGAGGCCACCACGAGGACAGCTGTCACACCATCCCTTCTCTTTTTTTCTTTTTTCTTTTTTTAATGTTTTTATTGATTTTAGAGAGGAAGGGAGAGAGGGATAGAAACATCCATGCTGAGAGAGAATCACCAAATGGCTGCCTCCTGCACGCCCCCCACTGGGGATCGAGCCCACAACCCGGGCCTGTGCCCTGACCGGGAATCGAACCCTGACCTCCTGGTTCACAAGTTGACGCTCAGCCCCTGAGCCACCGAGGCCAGGGCTGAGCAGCTTTTCATCGGTTTGTTTGCAGTTTTACCTCATTTTGTTCATTTGCCGTACTCTGAGGCGAGCACTGAGACAAACCAGCTTGGCGAACCAAAGGAGAGTGGAGAGAGCAGGGCACCGAGGGAGGCGGCGCTGCACACGCACGGGGAGGCCGGGCGCGGGCTGCGCCAGCGGGGCCTGCAGCGGGGGCGTGCAGCAGGCAGCCGGTCCGTGATGCTCTCATCACTGATGTTTCTCTCTCTCCCTGCCTCTCTGAAATCTACAAAAATGTTTTTTTAATAGAATGCACCGATTCATAACCAGAAACAATTTTCCATAACCGTCCTGAGCTGTTCTGAGGTGCTGAGAAGAATTCGCCCAGGTTGCTATGACGTGAATGGGCGACGGCACGCCCCACACCAGCCATCCCAAAGGGGGCGGCGGGCTGCGGAGGGGACGGGTGCCTGGATCCCGACGGGCACAGGGAGGGTGGTCTCCCTCCTCCCCTCACATCCAGTGCCAAGGCCTGTGAGGGCCTCAGCCACGCTAATGACCCAGAGCTGTGTCCTCCCCCCACCCCCCAGGCTGCGCACACAGTCGCAGTCTGGCACCTGTGGGATCCCAGAGGCATGGGGCAGCGGGAGGGGGCTGTCACTGAGTGGGGGTGTGCAGGCAGGTGAGGGAATGGCACAGGCTCAGAGGCAGTGGGGCAGCGGGAAGGGGCTGTCACTGAGTGAGGGTGTGCAGGCAGGTGAGGGAGATGGCACAGGCTCAGAGGCAGTGGGGCAGCGGGAGGGGGCTGTCACTGAGTGAGGGTGTGCAGGCAGGTGAGGGAATGGCACAGGCTCAGAGGCAGTGGGGCAGCGGGAGGGGGCTGTCACTGAGTGAGGGTGTGCAGGCAGGTGTGGGAGATGGCACAGGCTCAGAGGCAGCGGGAGGGGGCTGTCACTGAGTGGGGGTGTGCAGGCAGGTGAGGGAGATGGCACAGGCTCAGAGGCAGTGGGGCAGCGGGAGGGGGCTGTCACTGAGTGAGGGTGTGCAGGCAGGTGTGGGAGATGGCACAGGCTCAGAGGCAGCGGGAGGGGGCTGTCACTGAGTGAGGGTGTGCAGGCAGGTGTGGGAGATGGCACAGGCTCAGAGGCAGTGGGGCTGCGGGAGGGGGCCGTCACTGTGTGAGGGTGTGCAGGCAGGTGAGGGAGATGGCACAGGCTCAGAGGCAGTGGGGCTGCGGGAGGGGGCCGTCACTGTGTGAGGGTGTGCAGGCAGGTGAGGGAGATGGCACAGGCTCAGAGGCAGTGGGGCAGCGGGAGGGGGCTGTCACTGAGTGGGGGTGTGCAGGCAGGTGAGGGAGATGGCACAGGCCGACAGCACGCCCTCTCAGGGGTCTCCGGCAGCCGCTGACAGGCAGCGCACAGAGCTGGATCGCAGTCTGTACAGTAACGGGCCTGTCAGCAGCTTGATGGACCCCAATGTAAAGGCCGAGCATGAATGAACGCCAACAGCAAACCAGATCCTTATCTGACCAGCCCGTCCACAGCGGGCTCAGTGGCGCCGGGCCCGAGGGAGGCCGTGCTGGAGGAGCCGCGCGGGCCGGACCGGGGAGAGGAGAGGCGGGGGGGAGGCCGCGGGGCCGCGCCGGGCGCCACCCACCCAACGCGGATCTTGAGCATGCCGCTGAACAGCTCGGGGCTGTTGGCGATGGCCCAGCCCACGTGGATGACCAGCTCCTGCTGGATGACCGCCTCCCGCTCGTCGTGCGTGTTGCACTTGTAGATCATGTCCTGGATCACGCTCGGGGACAGCGGGTTGGAGATCACCTCCTCCTCGTGCCCGAAGGCGCCCAGCGTGACCTAGAGGAGACGACGGAGCGGCCACTCCCAGCTGCCCATGCGCCTGAGGCCCAGGCGGGGGCTGGCGGCTGCGCACCGCAGGGTCAGGTGGGGGGACCGCTCCTGCCTGGATGGAAATGGCTGTGAAAGCGTGATTCCCGGGGCCCCAGGCGCAGTCTGGCTGAAGCGAGGGCAGGTGGGGTCCCAGCTCGCGGGAGAGGCGAGCGGCTGAGGGCAGGGGAGGGACGTAAATAACCACTGAGATGGGATTGCTCTGAAGGCAGTTCACCGGCAGGTCCCCGAGACCCCAGCGCACGGAGTGGCGTCTTTCTGCAGCCCGCGCACACAGCCCGGGGGGGGGGGGTCCCTCCCGCCTCTTCCGGCTCCCTGGGAAGGGTGAGGGGAGGTCACCCCGAGAGTTCTAAAAACTGGCTGCTCTCTCACCTCAGAGGGGCGTCCGGGGGGCGGCCCACAGAGAGGACAAGAGAGCACAGGAATTTCACTGAGACTTAAAGCCCTTCCTGACTGTGACGCTCACAAGGGCCCAGGCCGACTTCCCGGAAACGGCCACAAAGCACCATGTTCCCCCAGAAGAGAAAGAAGCAAACAGGCCTTCACCCCGCCCGGCAGCCAGAGCGCAAGCGCACAGCCCGGAGCCGAGCAGCCCCACTCCCAGGCGCCCCCAGCTCCACGCAGCCACGGCACCAGGGCCCACCCAGGCGGCACACGGACAGCGCCCAGCCGTGCGAGCCGCGGTGAGAGCCATGGTCAGTGAACCGCGGTCCAGAGCAGATCCAAGCAGAGCTGGCGGAGGGAGGGGGCGCCAGAGGGACAGGTCTGGGAGTCGGTGTGCCCCGAGGGGACAGACCCTCGCGGGAGGGAGTGAGGGAGAGGCCTGCCGGAGCAGCTGTCTTTGCCCGCCTGCCTGACCGGCGCCATGACCTGCCTCCAGCAGTCCCCGTCCTGCGCCCGCGTCTGCCGAGCCCTCGCGTTAACGCGGTGCGGAGGAGAGGGGAGTGACTGCCTCTCTGAGGCCCGGCGCCGGGGAAGTGGACGCACCGGGATTCTAACAACGCGGCTACGGAGGCCGAGGGCCCGGGGGCGCCAGGTCTCAGAGCCAGGGTCCCCGGGGGAGTCTGAGGCGGACACTTACCTGCTTGCCATGCACTAACACATTAGTAATGGACGGGGCCAGGCTGTCCACTACTTTACTTAAAAGGCTCGCTGCGTGGCGCACCACCAACCTGGGGAGAAGAGAGCAGCCAGAGGGTCACAGCTGTGACAGTGCCGGGCCCCCGGGGGGACGCAGACATACGCACAACAGGGCCTCAGCCACGGCCGCGGGGACACCGAGCCCAACACCGGGCCCGGCCGGGCCTGTCCCAGACGCAGGACTGACCCTGCAGGACAGGGAGGTCCCCGTCCCCGCCTGGGCCACAGCGTCATCGGCCGGTACCAGCTTCACCGGGGGAGGGAGGGACCTGAGGGGCCTCTGAGGGGGAGGCTGGGGGAGGGCCGGGGCCGGAGCGGGTGGGTGGGAGCCATGACTGTGGAAAGGTTGGTGCCTAACACTGCCCGCCACCTGCTCCTGCACCAGCCACAGTCGCCGTGTGTCCCTCGGGGCCTCGGGCCGGACGCCTGGCTGACGGACTCGCTGAGTCCCAGGTTTAGGAAGTGTCACGAGGAAATACCAGCACTTTTCTTAGCTGAAGCCGGAATGTGGGAGGAAAGAATTCACACTGCTATTTTTACTTTTCTGCAAAAGTCTTAGCCTTCGGAGAACAGATTGCTTTTAAAGCTCAGCACATGCAAGGCATGAGATTTTTTTTCTCCCTCAAAAGTGAAAATTCATGTGGAACTTTTAGATGAAAAAAAAAGTAAAATGTAGGTTTAAAACGCTTTCCTTGAAGTTCAGACATTGATGAAAGCTCCTATAAAAAGCAGGCCCCTTCCTTAACCTCAGCGCGGGTGGACCAGCGAGAGGAAGTCAGTGACGGGTACGTTAGTGCGACGTTTAGAGAAGCTGTCACCGCACACTCGGCCAGCAGGGCGGCGCAGCCCTCGGATGCGGGGAAGCCACTGGCGGCGGGCAGCTGCGGCCGCACGCGAGCCGTTACCTGCTTCCCGTGGACCAGCAGGGTGGTGACGTGCGGGGCTATGGAGGAGGCAAACTTCCGGGTAAACGCGGCCCCGGAGCGGACCGCCAGCCTGGGCGTGCCAGTGCGGAGCGTGAAAGGAAAACACAGTGAATACAACTGGCGGGGGCTGGTTCTTCTCAACGTGACGGCCAGCACCGGCTGCTGGCCAGCGGTCAAGACGCCAGTGTCACATTGACCTAAAAGGCAGTGAGGACCCGGCTGCTTAGCCCAAGGAGGGTCACGGGCCCCCCCCGGCCCCACTGGCTGGGAGGCAGCATCTGTGAGCTCACGCCGCACGTGCCGGCCTACAGTGAGAAAGGGTCCGCCCGCAGGCCACCGCGCTATGCTTCCGGGCTGGAATGGCGTGTGTGCTAGCATCATGGAGCTGGACGGCTGCCAACAGACTGCTTTCTCGAAATCTGACTTCAGGGATTCCAAACCCAAGGCTCACTCAGGTGAGGGGAGTCTCTTACACATCTTGAGACTTTTCCCCCCAAAATTAGAAAATAATGGGTCTTGTAAGTATATATATGTCTATGTATATTCTTACTTTCAGAATGTTAGATTCCGCCAGTACTGCTGTTAGAATTGCTTTGAGCTGCAGAGAGCCATGCGTTTAGGCAAACGGCCCTGCTGTGAATTTAAACTGTTTTATTTCGACTTACCTCGCTTCTGTTTCAACCCCTGGGAAGAGCCTACGCCGCCGAGCACATCAGTCATTCCTCGCGAAGCCACGGCTGCCCTGGGACCCATCCCGCCCGAGTGGTGGCAGGTCTGCCTGCCCACGTTCCCGGCCCCACGGCTGAGGGGAGCACCGCTCCCCGCCCCGGCCCCCGGCAGCGGGAGGGGCTCTGGACAGAGCAGAGCCGGACGCACTGCTGGGCCCCGGAGGGGAAGGCCAGCACATGCCACCCGGTGGCCAGTCCCCCAGGCTGCCCCCGTGGAGTCTCTGTCCCGGGCTCTGTGCCTCTCCCGGGAGAGCCAGGGGCCGTGGAGTGTGGGCAGCCACGCGCTGTCCGCGGCCTTGGGAAGTGGGAAATGAGGGAACAGCATCTCTGAGACCAGCCCATCCTCCTCAGGCCCCTGACCATAACAACACACCACAGACACACACAAGGACGAGGACACGCGTACGAACCAGAGCTTCTTGCTGCCGGCTTTCCTGTAGACTCTCTCGATGTGATCGGACACGGTGCCTGGACATCGGGGAGAGAGGAGAGACTTTGTTGAGAACAGGTTTCCGTTCAATGCGTTTATTCTCCCCTTCAAAGGCACTCGGTTCCCGTTTTGTTTGGTTCCATGAGAATTGGTATGGCCATCCCCGCCGTGTCTGCACAGCCCGACACATGTGATGAGCGACCCAACACACACACGGTCCTGCCCTTGCTAGCTGCTAGCTGGTCTGAGCAGATACTTTCAGTGAGCACTGTACTTCTCCGTTTTTCCTTAATTAATATGCAATCTCTAGGTTTGTAACACGTGAAAATGTTATTTAAATTCACCGCAGAAAATAAAACACAGAGCACAGCCAAACCACGGCTTGCGAGCCACATGTGGCTCTTTGGCTTCTTGAGTGTGGCTCTCCCACAAAATACCACGGCCTGGGCAAGTCTACGTTGAAGAAGTGGCGTTCGAAGAAGTTTAAAAAATGTGGCTCTCCGACAAAATGTCCATCGTTGTCCTGTTGACATTCTGCTCAATTGATATGTGACTCCGATGACTAATGAGTTTGCCGACCACTGGGGTAAAGAGTAGAGTCACCATTTCACCCTGAACTTACCTGCTAGCTCTGTGCTAATTGTGTACGATCACACTCAGGTTCTCTACGTGCTCGTGATTTCCACTGCATCATGAGGTTTTACAGGTTTAAACCATCTAAGTATCTAAGTGAGGGATGAGTATTAATTCTAAGTTTACAAAAATGGCTTAAAAACGTATTCCCTCAGCATTTTCATGATAAACTGTTTACACAAATAGTCTGCACCACAGTTTCCTAATGAAATCCTTGCTTTTATGAAATCCTATTGTTTTAAAGTGTAAATGTCAGCGGATGTCCCCAATATACTGGGGATTCTGCTTATACTTATAGTTCCAATACTAATTAGAAATGAGGGATTCTGTTTGAAATTCGCCTAAAGTTCTTCTGCCTTTAATTAGTTAAGAAAATTAAAAGCATTCAATTTGCATGTATAATGCCCAAGAAGGTTAGCTCTTAGCTACAGTCATGCAAAAACGAAGCGCCTTATGTGAATAAGCGGGTGTGTGTGGTTCACTACCAAACTGTAAATCTTATTAATTACTCCGATGTTTAAAATTCTGACTCATTTCCATCCCAACTAAAGCCACATGCCCAGCTGAGCCAAAACGCTGAGCAGCTAGCCCACACCCGCGTGAGATGCCTCCTGCTTTGTGCTCATTGGGAAATGCCCGAAGCAGACCACAGTGGAGACCTCAGAGGCTCCTGAGAGCTGTGACTCAGCGCACGGACGTGGGTTCAGGGTCACGGGCTCCCCGTGAAGGCAGAGGCGTGGACCCCACAGAAGTAGCGTGTTTCTGTCCATCGTTAGAGCTCAGCCCTCTGCCGCCCGGCCCGCCCGGTCCCGCCCACGTGGCTGCTGCGGGCTTACAGCTACAATAATTCAGTGCTGTTCTCAAAAACAGACAAAATAAAACTGGAAACAGACAGTGTCCGGGAGCAACGGGGGCAAGAGTCACGCAGAGCCCGGCTCCCGCGCCCTGCAATATGAGAAACCCCACGTCCCTGAGCCGCGAGGGGCTCCCACCTCCCCCGCCGGGCCAGGTGGCATGCGTGAACGCTGCCCTCAAACGTTTAGTAGCTGAAGGAAATAACTGGTGAGCCTGGTGGGCACCGGCCACGTGTGCTGCAGAAGCTCCAGCAGCGCGGCCCGCTGCGGCACCACCTCCGACGCGCCCTACCTTCCTTGGTGATGAAGGTGGGGCCCTCCCTCTTGAGCAGGATGCCCAGCAGGATGACCTGGCTGGCCAGGCCGCTGCAGTCCTGGGAACACAGACCCCTGGGTCACCTCGGGGCTGCGGGCCGCCCTCCAGGCCCCCTCCGGGCCCCGGGCAGGCCCGCCTCACCTCCAGCTTCTGCAGGATGTCCTGGGTGGGCCTGGCCCGCCACTCGGCGAGGCTGACGTCGGGCTGCAGTTCCAGCTCCGTGGCCTGGGAGGCGCTGCTCTGCCGTTTGACCTTGGAGTGCTTGGGGAGCTCCAGTTCCTCGAAACTCTTAAACTCCGGAGGCCTGGAAACCCACAGAGAACGTTCCGGACCCGCCTCGGCGAGGCGCCGTGGGCGCACCCCGACCCCGACTCACTCCTCGGTGTCGCTGATGCGCAGGAAGTCCAGCTGCTCCACCACGGCTCCCGAGATCAGCGTCTGGAGGGGGGACGGCCGGGCGGGTGAGCTCTGTGACCCCCGCCCCCGCCTCTGTCCCCAGGGCATCCTTCCATGGGCTTCCCCACCGTGAAGGCAGTCCTGAGGCCGTTTCCTACGTGGGCATTCTAATCAGACAGGTCTGCACACGCCACACACACACACAGACGCTGAGCTATGGTCCCAAGTCAGAGTGAACAAAGGACAGCAACACGACACCAGCTGTGCTTCCCTCCGCTCTCAGAGCTGCGGTCATTGTCAGGCAGAGATAAAACTCGCCCATTAAAATGTGAAAAAGTAATCTGAAATCAAAGGAAACACAATGCTCAAACTGTCTGGGCAGAGCGCCTGAGGAGGGCTGGGCGGAAAGCGCACAGAGCAGAGGCCCGGTTCCCTGTGGCGGGGAGAGCAGGAGGGCGCCGTCTGCGGCCAAAGGGAACGAGAAGAGGGCTCTGAGGATCCGGGGTACGGGCGGGGGGCCTGGGCCTCAGTGTGGGACTGGGGAGGGTGGGCGGCTAGGTGCTGTTGGAATCCAAGAGGAGAGAAAACCGCTGTGATCCTGGGTTGTCACGTGGGCAGGAGGAAAGAGTCAAGAATTCATCTGTTCTCCAAGCTGAGAACTGACACGAGAACGTAAGAAAATTCATTTTGATTTAGTGTTTTCTAGTTCTATTAGCATGGCCCCTTCTGTACTAACAGCCCATAAAGGAGATGTGTAACTGGAGCTCACAGGCAAGCGGCGGCGGGGAGGGGGAGGGGGAAAGTCAGGGGGGGAGGGTCAGGGGGAGGGTCAGGGGGACAGGGCGCCAGCGGGCACCGGACGGCGGGAATAAAGCCTGAGACCAGCGCCCTCCACAGCACGCCGAGGAGAAGCACCGCCATCTCCCTTTGGACTGAGTGTGGGAACTGAATGAGGTGCGAGCCCAGCCGGATGGAAGGAGATGCCCCCGGTGCGGGGGGGACCCAAACCGCACTGCGCCGCGCACCTGCAGGCGGTCCACGTGCACCTTCACCCCGCCGACCTCGCCCTTCTTAAAGGACGCCAGCATGTCCAGGACCGGGCTGAACCGGCTGCCCCTGGAGAAGCAGAGAAGCAGAACGCGCATGAACGCGCGCGTGTGCACCGCAGAATGAGAAACGGGCCATCTCCTGCCGAGGGCCCTTCTCGGTGCCCACGCCCCGCCAGCCTGGGGCATAGGGCACAAAGCACAGGAGGCCGCATCCTGGGCCACCCCGTGGGCCGGCACCCTCCCGGCGCCCGCCCACCTGATGTTGTCTTCCCGGACGAGCACCAGGAACAGGGGCCGCCCGTGCATCTTCCAGTACTGCCGGATGAACTGCAGCGCGTTCTGGGGAGACAGGGCGGTCGGGGTGGCACCCAGGCCAGCAGGGAGCCGGCAAAGCCTTCAATTCCCGGGTCACCCCCGTCCAACCCGGGGTGAGTGACAGCCAGGGCGGAGTCCAGCACCTGCCCGCACACGGAGGGCACGCACAAGCTCCCGGGAGCCACCCGCCTGCGTGCTTGGTGCCGGGAGAGAACCCACACACACACACACACACACACACACACACACACGGCCTGGGTGCTGGCCGTGGGGCGCGGCCGGAGGAGCACCGCCCAGGGGGCCCGGAGAGGAGGTGGGCTCATGCTCAGCTGCGCTGGTGAGCGTGCGGGACGGGAGGCGGGGAGCTGGGACTGAACCCACAACGGGAGGGTCTCCTCCACTCGGTGTCTGCGTGCCCATCCGCCTCGGGGCCGTGCGGCTGGGAAATGGCGGGGCCAGCGTTTCACAAGGGCCGCCTGGCCCCAGAGGCCCCGATGGTCCGCAGGGGACACGGGGAGGGAGGAGGTGTAACCGCGGAATGAGCGGGAACAGCTGTGCCCGTGGGACGCTCCCCTACCTTTATGTCGTCGATGAGCAGCAGCACGTCCTGGGACAGGTAGAAGTCGCTCAGGTCGAAGATGATGGGGTAGCACACCACCGTCTTGCCCAGGATGCGGTAAATCTGCAGAAGACACTCAGATAGATGAGAGCCGCCCCGAGGCCAAGGCCACCGCAGTCCTGCAGAAACCACCACTGATGGCCGATTCTCAGCAGGCACGCGATAGACTCGGAAACAACACGCAATGTGAAGGCGTCTGAAAGCCCCGGGACTGGCTCTGTGTGAGAACGAGCACGTGACCGTCCCTCCCCCACGACAGGGCCTCTGTCTGCGCTCAGAAGTAACAGCGCGGGCGCTCCCTCCCGGAGACTCCTGTGATGTCCCGCAAACCCGCTCAGGAGACGGCTGCTGAAATCATGACGCAGGCCCGACCGCATGGCTGGGGGCTGAGCATCGACCCAGGAACCAGGAGGTCAGGGTTCGATCCCCGGTCAGGGCCCAGGCCCGGGCTGCGGGCTCCATCCCCAGTGAGGGGCGTGCGGGAGGCAGCCGGTCCGTGATTCTCTCTCATCATGATGCTTCTCTCTCTCTCCCCATTCCTCTCTGAAATCAATGAAAATGTAATTTAAAGTAGAAGCAGAGAAGCGAAACGCGCATGTGGACGGCAGAGTGAGAAACGCGGTGCCTGCGGCGCCCGCCCGCCCGCCCTCCGGAGCCGCACCTTGGACGTGCCGAGACAGCCGATGGGCCGGGCCGGCCGGCCGGAGAGCCCCAGCTTGTTGTTGACGCCCAGGTGGAAGTAGGCCTGGAAGACACACGTGTGAGCGAGCCGGGCGGGCAGCGTGCTTCTCCCCCGCCCGCCCCTGCTCCTCTGATTCCCTCCGAGAAGCGGCAGCGGCGGAGACCTTGCTCCGTGGACTCGGCACCCACGCCGGCCACGCCGGCCCCTGGACTCTCGGCCGCGTGTGAGAGCCGGACGGCCATCGGCTCCCCGGCCCGGCCGGAGCTCAGGCCGCGGGAGGCCAGGCCACCGGGCCCTCCCCGCCCAGCTCCGCCCGCCGAAGTGGGCGATGCCGGGCCCTCCCCGCCCAGCACCGCCCGCCGAAGTGGGCGCGTCTTCCTGCTTCTTCTGACTTAAATTTTACTTTAAAGTTTAAGCCAGATGCTGCGGCTAAACGGCCCGCGGACTCTCACAGCCCCTTGGGCAGCGCTGGTGCCCGTTCCAGGGGCAGGTGCGGCCCGGGGCCCTGAGCCGCCAGCAGCAGGCAGCCTCCGGGAGCACAGACGCCCGCACCCCCACGCCTCAGCGCAGACGCCGGCACGGGTGGTTCTCGGATACCATCTGTGCGCCCCGCGTCGTCTGCCTCTCCGTGCTGCTGGGACTGCAGGAGCGGGAGGGCTGGGACGGGGCCTGCGGGTCAGGAAAAGGGGGCTCCCAGGGCGATGGTGCGGAGCCAGCACCCACCTTCACCAGCTCCTGCTGCGCCCAGATCTGAATGGGCTCCACCTGCTGGGGCGTCTGCGTCTGGATCCCGTACGTGTTGAGGAAAACCTGGAGACTGAGGACAGGCGGGGGGCTTGGGGACAGCAGGGGCACGCAGACACCGAGGGCGAGGGGGCCCGGCTCGGAGTAGCTGTGTCTGTCGGTGCGCAGTGCGCCGTCTGCCCTGGGACCCGGAGGCCCGGGGTCCTCACAGAACATCAGGTGGGAGCTCTGGGGACGGGCCAGCGGGGGCGGAGGGCAGGCACAGGACTGGGGGATTCCCCCAATCTGTGTGCTCCTGTTTCAGCACTGCACCCCGGCAGCGCTGGGCTGGTCACCGTGGCTAACACTCACATCACTGACCCTGAAGAGAACGTGGTCCCGCCCTTAAAGGGGCAAGAACGACGTCCTCAAACCCTGCGGAGGGGCCCATGCCACCGCCTCACTGCCGGGAGGGAAAGCAGCCGGCCCGCCCGGCCCCACGGCGCCCCCACGCCCGTACCGCTGGCTCTCCGCGATGAGCGCCACGTGGACCACCAGGTCGTTCTCCAGGGGGCCCTGCGCAGAGAGGGAGGCTGAGGGGGGGGGGGCGCCTGTGGCGTCCGGCGGCGGCGGAACCGTCTCCGTTCAGAGAGGACGGCCCAGCTGCCTGCCTGCCGCCCCTGCTCCCGCTGCCCCTGGGCCCCGACACACAGGCCCCACGGAACAGGAGGGGCCTCTAAACTGCCCGAGGGCATTAGAATGCAGAGAACCAAACAGAGTGGAGCCTCACGCAACGTTCCTGACGGACCTTTAACACCGAGAGCAGCTCTGAGACCAGAGCAGCGGGCGCCGGGAGCCCGTGCTGTGGGAGCCGCCGAGGAATCGGCCGAGGAGAGGCTGCCCCTCTGCCGGCGGCCAACTCTCCCAGGAGCCCGCGCTCCGCCACCCCGCCCGTCACTCCGCAGCCCGGCTCCGGCACCGGCCACGCCATCGCTCCGGGCGACGGTGACCAGGTCCTGGGGGCCCGTGACCGCAGTGCCAGATTCACAAGTCACCCGAGACCATGTGGCAGATGCGGGAGCTGCACACAGCGGCGGCGGGGGCAGCCCTGGCCCAGGGGCAGACCAGGCCCCGAGTGAGTCAGTGTGTGTGTGTGTGTGTGTGTGTGGGTGGGTGGGTGTGCACACATGCATGTTTTTTTAAACTAAAAGGAGCAGCACTGCCCAAGCAGTCTGGCTCAGTGGTTTCAGTGTGGCCCAAAGGGTCCTGGGTTTCATCCCCCCATTCACCCTGCATCTTCTCAAACCTTCGACATACCCCCGCGAGGAGGACGTTTACCGGAAGACATCTCGCTGGCACCTCTGGCTCACACTGCCACCTTCACAGGCAGCCCTGGACCCAAAGTCATTTTTAAAGTTAAAGTACAGTCCCTGCCCGTGTGGCTCAGTGAGCTGACCACTGTCCTGTGCACCAAAAGGCTGCTGGTTCAATTCCCGGTCAAGGCATGTACAGAAGGCAACAGGTCGATGTGTCTCTCTCACATCGATGTCTCTCTCTCTCTCTCTCTCCCCCCCCCACCCTCCCTGCCTTCTTCCCTTCCTCTCTCTGAGCATATCCGAGGGTGAGGATTTAAAAAATAAAGTCAATCAATCAATCAAATTGAAGTATAGCTGACATACAAACAGGCAAATGCTAACTGCCCAGAAGAGGGAGAAGCCTTGCCTCGGACGGAGGTATAAAAACCGCATGTGGAGTAACCTTTCTCCGTCAGCTAGGCTGCCAATGTCTGCGCAGGAGCCGAGCTGGGGAACAGCCGGCTCTTACCTGGTTGGAAAACCTCATGCTCACGTTCCGCTGGCTCTGGATCGGGACGTAGCGCTGGATGGGATCGATGTCCTGAGGACTGATCAGCTCATCCGCTGGGGGAGAAGGAAGGCGTTACCCAAGATGCACTGCACAACCCCAACCCCAGCAAAACCTGACCGGCATCCACAGAACACTGCCAACGGGAGGAAATCTTTGTGACTTCAAGTTAGATAAAACCACGTCACCAAACATCAAGTAACAGAAGAAAAAACGAGGTAAATTGGATTTGGTTGCATTATAATCTTTGTTTCTCAAAGGATACCATCAAGAAAGTCAAACTGACAGCCCACAAAACAGGAGGAAAAATGTGAACGCCATGCATCTTGTAGGGACTTGTACCTTGGATCCATAAAGAACTCTTACAACTCAGCAATAAAAAGACAAACAACCCAATTTCCAAATGGCCAGTTATCTTAGCCATAGTTATCTTGTGTTTGGCTCAGACAAGTGAAAGTTAATTGAATAACATAAAGTCCCTACTTCTTCTTTTTTAATATATTCTTCTTGATTTCTGGGACTAAGGGAGAGGGAGAGACAGAAACATCAATGATGAGAGAGAATCATTGCTCGGCTGCCTCCTGCACGCCCCCTATTGGGGCCTGAGCCTGCAACCTAGACATAACGTACGCCTGACCAGGAATCAGATCAGCTGGTTCAGAGGTCGATGCTCAGCCACTGAGCCACGGGGGTCAGGCTAGCCCCGCCTCCTCTGCTCACCCTCACTGCAGGAAGCTACAACACGCTCATTCTCCCGACCTTCAGTTCTATGCAATCACGTAAAATCAACGGCCTGCTGGCTTCCTGTGTAGACGCGCCCTGTAGAACGCCTACTTTTATAGGACGTCCTCCCTTTTCCTGGGCCGCGTGAGTACCGCATCTGCAGCGGCCAGGTCTGGAACACAGGGCGGGAGAGTCTGCCACAGAGACGCGGGCGGCTGGGGGAGCGTTTCTCACGGGATCTCTAAGCTGAGCCACGCCTGGGCACGTGGCAACGCTGCCCTTTGCCCAGATCGCCACGGGTCTCTAGGCGCATCGGAGAGGTCTCTAACAGCGAGGGTGATGCTGATAACTGAGGAGCGAGGGGAGGGAGGAGCGGCGGCGGCCATGCAGCCAGGCATTCCTCCTCACAGCACCCTCCTCCTTCGCAGGCCACGAAACGGAGGCCCCATGTGGCCAAGCAACTGGCACCCACGCTGGGGAGGGCCGCACTCCGCCTCACACAGCAGGCTCTCTCCGGGGCCTTGCCCTTTAAGAACAACGACTTTCCCCGCACGCCGAGTGGGGCAGACGCAGGAGGAGGCCGTCCACAGATACGTCAGACCTACTGGGTGGTAGTGTCCTGCCCAGACCAGGGAGCGCAGGCCAGAACCTTCTCTCACGTGCTTTTGCATAGTTTTGCAAGATTTAAGTGGAAGCAACACAGGTTCGTTACGGCAAATATCGACCTGTCGTTTCCATTTAAGTAGCAGTTGAGCTCGTGAGGCGGGGTGATTAGTGCTCTGATATTCTAAATAGCAGCAAATTATTTCCCGGGCTCGTCTGTCTGATCGTTGGGATGTGGGAACTCCCAGGACCATCAGCCTGTTACATAATTAATGTTCGCCGCCGGCACGGAAACGCAGCTCCATCTTATTCTGTTAGCTGAGAAGGACCGCAGGTGGGTTAAGACGCTATGCCCTTGGCAAGCGTAAGTGCGAGTCCACTAGCATGGGCACGATAGGACAGGCAGCCGAGGCCTCTGAGAGCACTGTGTCCCGGCGGGTCTCTCCTCTCTCTCTCTCTCTCTCCTCTCCTCCCCCCCCCCCCCCCCCCACACCCCCACCCGACAGGCAGCTGAGGCCTCTGAGAGCACTGTGTCCGGCGGTCTCTCCCTCTCTCTCTCTCTCTCTCTCCTCTCTCTCTCTTCTCTCTCCTCCCCCCACAACCACCCCCCCCCCCCCCGACAGGCAGCTGAGGCCTCTGAGAGCACTGTGTCCGGCGGGTCTCCCTCTCTCTCTCTCTCTCTCTCTCTCTCCCTCTCTCTCTCTCTCTCTCTCCCTCTCTCTCTCCCCCCCACACCCCACACCCCCCCCCCCGACAGGCAGCTGAGGCCTCTGAGAGCACTGTGTCCCGGCGGGTCTCCCTCCCTCTCTCTCTCTCTCTCTCTCCCTCTCTCTCTCTCTCTCTCTCTCTCCCCCCACCACCCACACCACCCCCCCCCCCGACAGGCAGCTGAGGCCTCTGAGAGCACTGTGTCCCGGCGGGTCTCCCTCCCTCTCTCTCTCTCTCTCTCTCTCTCTCCCCCCCCCAACCCCACACCCCCCCGACAGGCAGCTGAGGCCTCTGAGAGCACTGTGTCCCGGCGGGTCTCCCTCTCTCTCTCTCTTCTTCTTCTTCTTCTTCTTTCTCTCTCTCCCTCTCTCTCTCTTTCTCTCTCCCTCCCTCGCTCTCTCTCTCTTCTTCTTCTTCTTCTTCTTCTTCTTTCTCTCTCTCCCTCTCTCTCTCTCTCTCTCTCTCTCTCTCTCTCTCTCAGCTGCACCTGTGGCCAGGCTTGCTGCTCATGCACATCCCCGCGGGCACTCGCCTCTGCTGCCCGCCACATCCAGACGCCTGTGCGCACGGAGAAACTCCCCGGACCCCCTCCCCGCACCGACACCAGGACATCGGGGAAAACGGCCGCAAAGCCACGCACGGGTACGGGCTTGAACCCGGGGCCCGCCCGCGGCCCCACTCACTCAGCAGCTTGGCGATGATGTACAGGGCCTGGCCCCAGAGGAACAGCTTCCCGTCCCGGCCGCAGTTGCTGGGAAACCGCTTCTGGCTGCCGGGGCTCCGCTTCTCCAGCTCCACGAAGTCGGCCGGCACGTAGTAGTACTTGGGGACCACGGGGTAGCCTGGGTGAGGGGCACAGCACCTCAGCCTCCCCGCCCCGCTGCCCGCCAGGAGCGCGGGGATGAGGCGGCAGAGAGACGGGAGTGTGCGGAGGAGGCAGAGAGACGGGAGTGTGCGGGACGTAGCGGGTCGGGGGCTCCAGGAAACCGGCTAGGGGCTCCTTTCAGACACAGCGGGGGGGAGGGGGGCGGGGGACCTGAGAACCCCAATCTGACCGCAGGTCACACTTCCACTAGCACGCCCTGCCGCGGCCCCGGCCGAGCGCAGAGAAATCCCGTTTCCAGTCCGCACCTCTGGAGAGAGCACGGCCCTCCTGCTCCCCCCGGGTGAGGACGCTCCCGGGGGAACCACACGTGGCCGTGGGAAGATGGGGCTGTGGGTGCTACACAGGGGGACGGCATTCTGCGTCTTTGCATGTCAGCCCGTGGGAAACCCCGTCTCCTGACAGAATCGCACAGGTTTCCCTAACCCCGTCCTCCTGCGCAGGCGGGCCTGGTGTCTGTCTGACCCCCTGTGATACGCCGGCTCCCGGGTCAGCGCTCGCCGATGAGCCCCCTGAGCCCCCTGAGCCCCCCCGAGCCCCCTGGTCCCCCTGGTCCCCCTGAGCCCCGCTGAGCCCCCTGGTCCCCCTGGTCCCCCTGGTCCCCCTGAGCCCCCCCGAGCCCCCTGGTCCCCCTGGTCCCCCTGGTCCCCCTGAGCCCCGCTGAGCCCCGCTGAGCCCCCTGGTCCCCCTGGTCCCCCTGAGCCCCCTGAGCCCCCTGGTCCCCCTGGTCCCCCTGAGCCCCGCTGAGCCCCCTGAGCCCCCTGGTCCCCCTGGTCCCCCTGGCCCTGCTGCCCGGCCAGAACCCCTCCTCTGAAATCCTGGGAGAGTGATCTCGTGCTCACACCGAAGACTCAGTCCGCTCTTTCCTGGCCCTGCCGCCCCTAATGGGAGCCAGCACGCTGCTCAGAGCACGGGCCTGCGATCATTTCCAAGATGTGAAGTCCGCCTCAGAGGGGGCACCTGAGCAGACATCCGACAGAACGCCAGGAAGGCGTCAGAGGCGACCCCGGGAGGAGCCAGAGCCACCTGGCATGGCAGCGCCGCGGCCTCCGGGGCCTCTGCAGGCGGACTCGCCTTAGCTCCCGGCTCCCGGGCCCTGATGTCCGTCGGTCACTTCCGCCCTGGCTGGGGCTGGGTGGTGAGAGCGCGCCCACACTGAGGGGCGCAGGCTCGCTTCCCCTGCCAGTCAAAGGCAGGCACCTCGGCTTCAGGATCCATCCCAGCCCGGTAAGGGGGGTGTGGGAGGCAACCGATCAATGTATCTCTCACATCCGTGCTTCTCTCCCCACTTCACTCTCTCTGAACACCAACGGGAAAACACCCTCCGGTGAGGATGAAAAGCCAGTCCTTCCTGCCAGGCCGGCTCAGAGAAGGAGCCGCAGAGCTGGCAGAGGAGGGCCCGCCGCCCGGCCGGCGTCCTGCAGCGGCTGCAGCCATGACCACCTACATGCCAGTCCTGGCCGCGCCAAACCAACTCCGTGCAGGAGACACACTTGTGAGGACAAATAGGCTGTTCCTCCCAATCCATCCCTGGCCCCTCGTGTCTCTCGGTTTGACGGCCGCTCTATGGAAGAGGAGTCACTGCATTGAGCTCCGGGGCCGGCCGGGGCCTACCTTCGGCCGTCCGGTGCAGCACGGGCGCCAGCAGGTCCTGGTACTCCTTCACCTGCGCGGCGTGGCCGCGGAACACCCCTGGAAGACAGCGCGCCCTCAGCAGCCCCTCCGCGAGCACACGGCCCCGCAGGAAGCCATCGCCCCTAGGACCGCGGGGGTGATTATCCGGGTGAACGATAAACATAACACTTAAAAACAGGCAATGAAAATGTGTGTGACGTTCTTCCAGGAAATCAATTTAGAAGGTCATGTTAGTATTTAGAATTGAAAACTGAATATTAATTGAAATTTCTCGATTCTCAGTATAAATTTTATAGATATTCAGTGTCGCAGATTATGGCATTCATGGTTTCTACGCATGAAACTTCCTTCTTTATAAATATGAAAATAGAGCTGTATCATTTTAAAAATAATTCAGCCTGGCCGGTGTGGCTCAGCGGTTGAGCATCGACCTATGAACCAGGAGGTGGTGGTTCGATTCCCGGTCAGGACACATGCCCGGCTTGCGGGCTCGGTCCCAGTGTGGGATCATTTATGTTTCTATCTCTCTCGCTCTCCCTTCCCCTCTGAAATCAATAAAAATATATTTTAGAAAACAATAAAATAATTCACAGTACGGTTCTAATTCTCTCAGCGATTTAATCCTCCACAGGGAAGCAGGAGAGCGTGGTGTGCCGAGGCGAGTGGCAGAGGCACCGGGGGAGCGGCAGGAAGCGGTGGCATCTCCCACTGACCCCTCCCTAACCAGCCCGCCCGCGGCGGCCGCCGGGAGCCGCACTCACCGTCGATGATCATGTACAGGAAGAACAGGGGGAATTCACACTCGATGCCATCGAACAGCTGGAACAGAAAGTAAAACGCAGACGATTTCATGAACAATTAGCTGGGACCAGCACAGTGCCAGGGCAATGCATCAGTCACAGTCACAGCGGGAGGTACAAAGGAGTGACTGATGGTGTAACCAAGCGGGCTGGTGTGAGCATTCATGGAGAAGGCACACTGAGCAGTGTCGCCATTGTTGTTTAAACTCTCTGACTCATTCCCAGAGCCTGTGCTTTGTCACCGCTCAGCGTGCCTGCTCCGTGACAGTCCACGGGGACTGAACACACCCATGCCCGGCGCCAGCTGGCCCAGGGCTGAGAGCACAGGCAGCCGCTCCCTCAGGGCCCAGATGTCCGCCCATGAGCGTCCGGAACAGAAACGAACCCCCCGGGTCTGCCAGGGCCAGGGGAGGGCTCAGAGAAGGGGGCACACAGGAGGCCTGGCAGGTCTCTCCAGCGAGGGACAGGGCGCCTTACCAGCACCGGCTGCCTGTGCGAGCGGCACCCCGGGGACTAACTTCCTCATCACAATGGCGTACATGACATACGAGGAGGCTCACTGTCTAGCCCACTGGTAAGCGCCGCGCCCGATTCAAGCCGGGCGGCACTCCCGGCCCGCAGGCAGCGGAGGGGGATCCCCGGGCACCTTAATCTCGGCCGGCTTGTAGTAGCGCCGGTGAGGGTCCTCCAGGGCTGTCCGGTACCCGTCTCGCAGGAAACGCTTGAAGCCGTATTTCCCCTTCAGCTTCCGGACCACCTTGTCGAGGGTCTGGCCGAACAGAGCCTCGTCATCCAGCGCGAAGGCAGGGTAGCTGATGCAGGGGAGCAGGGCGGCGTCCGTGTTCTGGGGAGCGAGACGAGGGGGCGACGTGATCCACGGCCCCCCCAGACCCGGGGCGGGGGAGTCGGCAGGGGCCCGGCACCAATGGGACGGCAGTGCCCCGGGGACTGGACGGCCACGCGGCCTGGGCTGTGCGCCTCGGAGGAGACAGATCCTATCCGGGAGGAAGTCTTCTCAGGGCCCAGCACTGAGCTCGGCGGGAAGGTCTTACTTAAGGCAGAGTGTGAAAACGTAACACCATTAATTAGTCCTCACAACGTAGCTTGTCATAACAATCTTTTATAATCAGGAAAAACAAAACCATCTAAATGTCCAACCAATAGGAGAGTGCCATAAAGCCATTAAAATGTATGCTGGGGAAACAATTTTTTTAAATATGGAAGCTTGTCCGTTCGTAGGACTCCGTTACGGGCATTACTGGGGATATTTTCCAGTTTTGTAAAGTGAAAATATCGGGTACATACATGAACCATGCGGACACCCAGGAGTGTGTCACCTGCGGTGAAAGTGTGGGGGTGCAGGAATGAGATGGCGATACTTGCATGTGTGGGTTTTTCTTTTCTTTTATCAAAATCTTGAGTTAGCCGAAACCGGTTTGGCTCAGTGGATAGAGCATCGGCTTGGGGACTGAAGGGTCCCGGGTTCGATTCCGGTCAAGGGCATGTACCTTGGTTGCAGGCACATCCCCAGTAGGGGGTGTGCAAGAGGCAGCTGACCGATGATTCTCTCTCATCGATGTTTCTAACTCTCTCTCTCTCTCCCTTCCTCTGTACAAAATCAATAAAATATATATATATATTTTTAAAATCTTGAGTTACTTCTTCTATACCATAGTTGTTTTTAGATAATTAATCTCACTTGAGGCGTTTTCTAGAAACAGCCACAAGGAACTCCCAGCAAACTGCGAAGGTTCCTCTGGCAAAGGACAGTGAACCGAGGTGACATCACCAGTGACGCCGAGTCCACTGGAAAGGTGCTCACGTGAGATCTCGACTCCCGGGGCAGCAGGGAGCACAGGGTCTGCCGGTTGCGGTTATGAGCATCGAGATCCACGAAGATGACCGACCACGAGCAGCCCTGGAACGAGAGAGGAGCGGGGACGCGTACAAAGCTGGGCACCTGGACTGTCAGGTCTAAGAGGACAGCAAACCACCCGCTGCCTGGCCTCTGCTCAAGGCTGACATGTGGTGAGAGGACAGACGGTTCCCCTGCACGTCCTTCCTAGTGGCTGGCGGAGGGAGAGACCTGGACAAACAGGCCAAACAACAGCCAGAATAGCCAGATCCACCATTTCACTTCCTTACTTATAAATAGCCTACTTACTGTAGATTGTGCCTTTAAAATTTCAACTCAAGGCAGACTTGCATGCTATGGCAATTAACTCCCTAATGGTCAGCCTGTCTTAAACACAGACCAGCTTACCCGCCCGCTGTGGCTAGTGGCTGGGCATAGTTCTGAGCAGCAAAAGGTTGCCGGTTCGATTCCCAGGCATCAGGGCACATGCCAGGGCTGTGGGCTCCCTCCCCAGAAGGGGGCATGCAGGAGGCAGTCAATCCATGATTCATTCTCACATCGATGTTTCCTCTCTCACCCTCTCCCTTGCTCTCTCAAAATCAATTGAAAAATCTTTAAAAAATAAATAAATAAAACCGGCCATGCTTTCGGCATGTGGTCCAGGTTTACGGGAGGGTAACAATCACCCACAGGCAGTGATTCGCATTCAGAAGCGGCTTTTTAAAAACATCATTGAGGAGGGTGTGCCTGTGGAAGTAATTATCACCTGCTCAGAGGCTCAGACACATTGTTCAAAGGGAGGGAGGCTGTGCCTTCTCTGAACGCTCTGCATCACATGAGCAGTCTCCCTCCAGTGTGGCTCAATGGATGGAGCGTCGGCTTGGGGACTGAAGGGTCCCGGGTTCGATTCCGGTCAAGGGCATGTACCTTGGTTGTGGGCATATCCCCAGTAGGGGGTGTGCAAGAGGCAGCTGATTGACTCTCATCGATGTTTCTAACTCTCTATCTCTCTCCCTTCCTCTCTTTATAAAATCAATAAAATATATATTTTTTAAAACAAAATAAAAAAATTAAAAAAAAATAAAAGGTAATGAGAATCCTGCACTAAAAGGTTTTTAAAATTAAGCAATGTTCTTTAGTCAGGAAACTAAGATTTAGCTGCAGGCAGGGCAGCCTGCTGGGCCGTGCGACATAAATTTCAGACGCTCTGTGATACTGAGTGACGTGGCGAATGAGTGGCCGAATTAATTAAGCAGGTAATTAAAAACACAGTCGGCGCTGGCTGCTGCTGCGTGTGCTTACCTGGTTGCCGAAGAGGTTGAAGCCATTAATTGCTTCCAGAGCCGCTTTTGCTAGGCCCACCGAGCTGGAAGGGAAAGGAACACGCTGTCATCTGCCACGTCGGCTACAAAACGAGAGCCATCGGCTGATGAACATTCAGAGCCAGTTTCCTCATGAACACTTCTAACGACTTCCGGGAGGAGAGGGAGGCTGAGAGACTTCAGAATGGCGGGCCGCTGTTTCATCTTCCTCACTGGTCGCCAGTGACCTCTGGGGAAGGGGATGTTCCTAAGTTCCCCTCGACGTGGACAGGGGCCATGGGACCGGTGGGGTAGCCTGAACTCAGGCTGCACTGACGGTCACTGGCCCAGGAGGGAAGGTGAGCTCAGAGGAGACTGCTGGGAGGAGCGGTGCGGTCACCACCGGCTGGGCACCGTCACCACCAGCTGGGCACCGGTCACCACCAGGCTGGGCACCGGTCACCACCAGGCTGGGCACCGGTCACCACCAGGCTAGGCACCGGTCACCACCAGGCTGGGCACCGTCACCACCAGCTAGGCACCCGTCACCACCAGGCTGGGCACCGTCACCACCAGGCTGGGCACCGTCATCACCAGGCTGGGCACCGGTCACCACCAGGCTGGGCACCGTCACCACCAGGCTGGGCACTGGTCACCACCAGGCTGGGCACCGTCACCGCCAGGCTGGGCACCGTCACCACCAGGCTGGGCACCGGGCACCGCCAGACTGGACACTGTCACTGCCAGGCTGGGCACCGTCACCACCAGCTGGGCACCGTCAGTCCAGAACAACACCGAAGAGCTGTCCTGATGTCAGCCGAGCCCGGAAAAGCTCTCTCGCGTCGTACATGGTCCAGAGGGCATGGCTGCCGCACCGCCAAGTCCCCGCTCGGGGACGGACACACAGGCACGTCCGTGTCCCCAGCACGACTGACCGGCCGGCCCCTCGGCCGGCCCTACAGGCTTCTCTCTGCGATACCATGTGCTCCTCCGCCGCAGACAGTGGTGCTCAGAAACGGGGAGACGCGAATTCCATTAAAAATAGGACACTGTCATCTTATAAATAGCAACCTTAAAGCATTTAGACTTCACATCCAGCCTATTTCACTTACTACAACTTTCTTCTGAGAGCAACTGCGCGCGCCATGAATACTGAGCAAAATTAATGATCTGTCCTCGCTCAGCCGTCTCCCAGGCAGAGAACAAAGCGGCCGGAGCAGCAGCCTGGCGGGGAGCCGGCAGCAGAGCCAGTCCTCCCTCCCCACCTCCTCTCCCTCCCTTTCCCCCTCTTCCCTCCCCGCTCCCCGGAGAGGCCATGCCCAGGGCAGAGGCCCTGCAGGTGCCTGAGCGCCTGTTCTGAGGTCCGTGTGGCTGGGAGCCACGTTCTCCGTGGCGTGTTCACGTGACGTCTCTGCAGTAGGTGCTCCGCGTCATAGGGAGGTGACCGGACGGGAAGGGGAGCAGCCACCTGCCCTGAGCCTCGCTAAAAGCTGGCCTCCTGGGCATACGTTTGGTGTCAGAGAGGCACAGGGGGCACTAAGGCCACTTCCGTCACCCCACGGAGCGGGGGGATTCATCCACCATTAACCGCCATCGGCAGCCACTGCGGCTGCCTCAGACTCACAGCCCCGCTCCGGGCTGCTCGCACCTCTTCCAGAAAACAGCGACCGACCGACCGACCGACCGACCGCTCCTCTGGATGCGAAAGGTCTGACCTGCCGGTTAGGGTGAAGCGTGGCCATGAGGGCAGAGGGGAGCACCACACAGCGCGTGCGCGCTGGGGTTCGGCGGTTCCTCGGACCTGACTCTCAAAGAGCAGCGCCGCCTGCACAGAGGAGGGCACCGGGCCGGCCAGCCCCGACCGGAGGCCCGGGAGCCGCTCCCCCCGCAGCTGCCGGGCGGGGAGCCGCTCTGTAGCTCTCATTTGAAGTGAATTTCATCGGCATCGCGTACGTGGGGAGAGCAGGTGGACATCAGCATAGCAGGCACAGCGCCAATCCGACACCCGGATTGCGATTCATATTCAGACTCACACATTGAAATGAATGAGAACCGCTCAGAAAGCAGCCGGTTACCTCGAATGCAGCTCCGTGCTGCCGTTGTTGTACTTGCTGCCTCTCTCCCAGACCCCGAAGTCAGGCACCCGGTAGACTCTCTCTACACAGAACACCAGGTTCTGGATGAAAGAGACCTGGGAGGACGGAAACGGAACATGAGCACAGGCGCCGGCAGGAACGGTGGCGCCCGTGGGGACGCGGCCCGCCCGGACACGCCGAGCTCGTGACGACCGAGCGCCGTGCGCAGGGCCTCGGCCTCCAGCGGGAGCTGACGCTGCTCCGCCCAGAGAGAGAGCTGACGCCGCCAGCCCCGCCACCCTCTTCAGGGAGGGTGTGAGGGCATTTCGGGAACGAAGACGGACAAAAAGCACCGTTTCACAGCGGGTAACGTTTGGGATCGCAAACGCCCACGTGAGATGTTAATATTCTAACACCTCAAGAATAAGAGCCTGCGCTCCCACTGCCTGTACCGTCTCAATAAGAGTCTGTGCTCCCGCCGAAACTGGTTTGGCTCAGTGGATAGAGCGTCGGCTTGGGGACTGAAGGGTCCTGGGTTCGATTCCGGCCAAGAGCATATACCTTGGTTGCAGGCACATCCCCAGTAGGGGGTGTGCAAGAGGCAGCTGATCGATGACGCTCTTCTCATAGATGTTTCTAACTATCTCTCTCCCTTCCTCTCTGTACAAAATCAATACAATATACAATATATTTTTTTTAAAAGAGCCTGTGCTCCCACTGTGTGTACCGTCTCAATAAGAGCCTGTGCTCCCACTGTGTGTGGCGTCTCAATAAGGGCCTGTGCCTGGCTGGGCCCAGCTGAAAGCGTGTCGCAGGTGTGTCTGTGTGCGTCCGGCATTACTGCCCGTGAAAGAAACGCTCCCCAACTCTGGGCAGTGTGGGCGGACATTCCGTTCCAATTCCCGAGAAGAATAAGAGTGTGGTATCTCTCTTTGAAAAACACCGGAAACCCTGCTGAGAGGCTGTGCAGATGAAAATAATACAATATGACAAAAGCATCTCTCTACTCTTAAAGGGACGGGTCACAAAAAGGAATGAAGAAAAAAAAAACAAAAACCACAAATAATAACAGAGAAAACCTGCAAATGCTACTTTACTTTCTTTGTTACTAAAATATCCTGAAAGCTTCAATTTCAGATCGCCTTAAATAGAGCCTTCATAGGAGAACAATTTTATAACTTGCTATATGATTATTCATTTTCAAAGTGCTGTGCACCGAGACTTTTCTATCTGATATCCCAAATCCAATCTCTGAGGATATGAAATGAAGAATAATCCATTTTTTATTAAACAAAAATCAAGTTTTAAGAAGTAAGATAAAAGAGGTCCTTGGAGATGAAATTCAGTGCTAAAGAATATGAGGAGCCTGACTGGTGTGGCTCAGTAGCTGAGCGTCGACCTATGAGCCAGGAGGTCAGGGTTCGATTCCCGGTCGGGGCACGGGCCCAGCTTGTGGGCTCCATCCGCCGTAGGGGGCGTGCAGGAGGCAGCCAATCGTGACTCCCTCATCACTGACGTTTCTCTCCCTCCCTCTCTGAGTCAATAAACACGTTTCTAAAGGAGCTGGAGGGCGCGTACCTCGTCGGTGTTGTAGATGATCTGCAGCCCCGAGGAAATCATCTCCACCAGGTAGAGCAGGTAGAGGGACACGGCGTTGATCTGGAACACACAGCACCGTGCGCGTTACGGGAGACAACAGAGACGCGTTACCGAGTTAAAGGTCAAAGCCACAGGGCCCGCCCTCCGCTCTCGTGCGGCTCTCAGCAGAGTCCTTCCTGCCGTGACCGGAAGGAGCTGTGGATCTGGCCCCTGAGGAAACCCCGGCGCCCTCAGGTCCGCTGCGGGGTCACACCGGGCGGGGCAGCGGCCGCAGGTGGGTCTCGGGGCAGGTGTATCTAGAGCAGTGTTTTTCAACCTTTTTTGGGCAAAGGCACACTTGTTTCATGAAAAAAATCACGAGGCACACCACCATTAGAAAATGTTAAAAAATTTAACTCTGTGCCTATATTGACTATATATAAAGTAATTCTCTTGAATAGGAATCAAATAAACACAAAGAAAGTATTTTATAATTACTTTATTATGAAATATTAAGTAAACAAAATAGTGAAAAATTATAAAATTCTTGTCTTGTCTGCACCTACGGCACACCAGGCAACATCTCGCGGCACACTAGTGTGCCGCGGAACAGCGGTTGAAAAACGCTGATCTAGAGCAGTGTTTTCAGACTTGTTCTCAAACCGAGGGCTAGAACACGCCTGCGCTGGAACAGTTCTGCCCCAGAGGCAGCTTTGCCATGTCGACCCTCTCGAACGCATGCGCGTCCGGTGCAAGGGGATGCCACCAGCCACCATCAACAGAGAACACAGACTCACGGCAGCATCGGCAGCACATGTCCAAGTCACTGGATGCTCCATCAGAGCCTTTAAAAGCTACGTGTGTACATTTATTGAACACCTACTGTGTGCCCAGCACCGGGCCTCAGCCCCGGGATACAAAAATACACGAGCTGGGAACGTCTGAAAACCCTACTTCAAGTAGGAAACTCCTGTCAAAGCAAGAGGTGCCTAGAACCAATTATGTGTCAGCCCTAGGGCCGTGGTGGGCAAACCGCGGCTCACGAGCCACATGCGGCTCTTTGGCCCCTGGAGTGTGGCTCTTCCACAGAATACCATGGCCTGGGCGAGTCTATGTTAAAGAAATGGAGCTATAAGAAGTTTAAGTTTAAAAAATGTGGCTCTCCAAAGAAATGTCCGTCGCTGTGCTGTTGATATTTGGCTCTGTGGACGGATGAGTTTGCAGACTGCTGGCCTGGGAGAAGGCTGAGCAACAACACGGGCATATAACTGCGTCCCATGGACTCGGGGTCACAGGTAAGTATAGGAGTTGGCGCTGCCCAGAAATGGGGACACCGCACCGTGCTTGGAGGAGTCACACGAGAGCGAGGCTTTTCTGATGGTTGGGAAGAGAGGAACTATAAGGAGAAGATCTTATTTTAGCACCAGATAATGGGCAATCTGCACCCTGCCCTGCAGCCGGAGGGCGGCAGGAGGGGAGGAAGGAAGCGCTAAGGATGCCGGGTATGGATCTGTGTCCTGGGGCAGGCATCGGGAGTCCAGCTGGGAGCCGCGGGAGCTGGGCAGGCAGAGCATAAAACCCTGCAGGGGTCCTCAGCCCGGCCCGGAGTTAATACGTTACGCAGACGAGCGCACAGGCTCCGGAGCCTCCGGAGGGTCACTGGGCGAATGCTCTCGCTCTGTGGGAAGCTGGCACATTAAAAACGAGCTGTTGTGGGACGGGAGCTTCTGATCGGCCGTGACGGCCTGCCGACAGTCTTACTCGCTGGTTCCTAAGCGTCGAAACTCTTTCAAGTTCGATGACAAGTACAAGCTTTTGTCACGAAAAAGCTGTAAGATGTGCCCGGCTGACGTGGCTCAGGGGTTGAGCGTCGACCTATGAACCAGCAGGTCACGGTTCCACTCCTGGTCGGGGCACTTGCCCAGGCTGCCTGCTCGACAACCCCCAGTGGGCGGTGGGAGGGCAGGAGGCGGCCGATCAATGAATCTCCCTCATCATGGATGTTCCTGCCTCTCCCCCTCTCCCCTCCTCTCTGAGATCGGTGAAAACGTCCTTTGGACGGTCCTGACATCACAGCCTTCCCAGCCGCCCTCTAGCCTGTGGGCCAAGGAGTCGGCTAGACTCGACATTCAGCCACCATGACTCACTCGGCCCCGGCGGCTCCCGGCCCCCCTCGTCATGGCTGCTGCCTTCACCCGTGAACACCCATGAGGTCACTGTGGACCTCGGCGAGGCCGGGAGCCCTCCGTGCGGGCGGGGTGGGCCGCCAGGGCAGGCGTGTGCTCACCTGCAGGTGCCCGTACTCCCCGTAGGACAGGACCTCGTCCCCGGTGCGCACGTCGAACACGGAGTGCAGGCAGGTGGCCGGGCGCGGGTCCTGCTTGAACTGCTGGACCTGGAACGACACGCGACGTGCACACAGCGCTGGCCGTGCACGTCCGGGCCGAGCTGCAGCTCCTCACAGACCCTGAGCCATCTCTCGCGACAGGTTCGGCTGAGGAAAGCTACCGCTTGTAGGCAGAGGGCGGGACAAGGCAGAGACGTGACTTTTTCTGAAGAAACACAACAGGCAGAAGCATGGCTGCTGCCTGGCCGGCGTTCCCGGCCGCGGACACCTGGTGGGACTTATAAACCCAGCAGCGAGGTAGCAGGGAGCTCGCCAATGTCCTACCACTGACTTCTGAGAGCCCTGCGTCTCAGTCAGAGTCCAGTAGCGGCTTCCCTTGTGGGCAGAGCTGCTGCTTACGTGACACTCGGTGACAGCGCGCTGGGGGCCGTGGGCCAATTCAGCGAGAGCCCAAACGGAAATGCTGCTTCCTTCTCCGAGGACATGAACGCAGCTCGGGCTCCTGTCCGCCTGGCTCCTTCCCTCCCACCCACTCCCCTCTCTCAGGCAACAGCTCCAGGGAACAGGCCACGCCTTCCCTTGCTCATTGACATCCACGCTAACGGTTCGGAACACCAAGGAAACACTAAATGCGCCCGCAGGCCCGCTCCAAGGAGAACAAAACCCTTCCCCTCGTCTCCTCCTATCCAAGTCAACTTGGCAAACACTGACGGGTGCCAACTGAATGCCAGCTGCGGGGCGGGTCCCCAGAAGCACCCTGGGACAGGCGCGGAGGATGCACGGATGGCACGTGACTCAGTGGAAAAGCAACTGAAGAGACGTGAGAGAGCCTGGCCGGTGAGGCTCAGAGGCTGAGCGTCGACCTAGAACCAGGACGTCACAGTTCGATTCCCGGTCAGGGCACAGGCCGGGCTGTGGGCTCCATCCCCAGTGGGGGGCGTGCAGGAGGCAGCGGGCCCATGATGCTCTCTCATCACGGATGTTTCTCTCTCTCTCTCCCTGTCTCTTCCTCTCTGAAATCAATATAAACACATTTTTTTTTAAAAAAAAAACAACATTATTCAGACCCTAACTGCTGGTGGCCTGGGACCACACAGACAGACACCGTGTGGTCACCCCTTCCACACACCATGGTTATCATCTCAAACATGGCTCTGGGAGCAAAGGTTAAACCCCGGTGACAGTAAAACAAAGCCCATCCTGCCTCCTGGATAAGGATCTGCCGAAGGAGCTGGTCTGATCTGTTTAATAAAGTGCCTGAGGCAGCTGCCGGGCGGGCGGCTGTCATTTGTCTCCGAGACGCACGGCCCCGGCGGGAGGTTTACGTTCAATCACCGCGTTGAGGGGGGGGGAGGGGGGGCAACGGCTAACAGACTCACGATGCTCAAACAGAACTTTCCGTGCCTGCGCTCTCAGTCCGAAAGCCGCTAAAGGACGAGTAATTTAACATTTCAGAGAAAAAGCAGGGCCCAAACTCTATAAGCGTCGGAATGGAATGGGGTGAATTGGATGTGAATTACTGACGAAAAGCACTCCTGAAAGCAGTCAAAATCAAGGAGAAATCAGCTCGTGCTTCGTGATGTCTGACATCTGGCAAGAAAAAGGAAGGGATGATTGACACGACATTTGCTGGACTGAGAAAATCTAGAGCCTGAGCTGGTCTCGCTCAGTGGTTAGTGTTGGCCCGCAGACCAAAGCATAGCAGATCTGATTCCCAGTCAAGGGCACGTACCTCGGGCGCAGGCTTGGTCCCTGGCCCAGGTCAGGGTGCGCGTGGGAGGCAACCAATCAATGTCTCTCAAATCGACGTCCTCTCTCTCTCTCTCTCTCTTCCTTCTCTTCCATCTTCTCTAAAAGTCAATGGAGCCAAAACCGGTGTAGCTCAGAGGATAGAATGTAGCCCTGTAGACTGAAGGGTCCCAGGTTCGATTCCGGTCAAGGGCATGTACCTTGGTTGCAGGCACATCCCCAGTAGAGGGTGTGCAGGAGGCAGCTGATCCATGTTTCTAACTCTCTATCCTTCTCCCTTCCTGTCTGTAAAATATCAATAAAACATATTTTTAAAGTAAATAAATAAATAAAAATCAATGGGGAAATATCCTCAGGTAAAAAAGATTTTTAAAAATCTAGATGAATGTTTTCTCTGTTTCTATTTTATTAATATTTGGCTTTTCTGAAAAGGTAAGTCGTTGTAACTACTAAGCTCTGACCGGTGTGAGACAAGAAGGCTCACAGCAGGAAAATGCCTGAAAGCTGTAAGCCCCGTGTGCGGGGTGTGCAGACACCCAGTCCCAACGCCATCGCACACGTACAGCGCACGGGTTTCAGTGACCGACCCCGTGCACCGAGGAAAACCCCCGAGGGGCTGCCCTCGCCGGACACCGCCCTGAGGAGCCGGGCGGGGAGGGTGAAGCGCCAGGAAGGGACGTTAAGAGCAGACAACAAGCCACAGGGAAAAGCCCTGCCGTGACAGCACCTCCCTCTGGTCCGCGATGCTGGCTGAGCCCCGTCTGCTCCCAAGGAGACCTGCCTCCGGGAGGGGGATGCTGAATGCACAGACGACAGGCCCTCAGAAATGGTAACCATCGGGTACGCTGTGCAACCCCCCATTTTTTACCACGTCGAGCATCAGTTAAAGCAATACAACACTCCCATGATAAGAACATACAAAATGTAGCACACGCAGGACTGCCTGTATAATCACGGTGAGCATCTCTGCAGTGAGCCATCCGCCTGGGGTGGCCTTAGGGACACATGACACACTCACAGACACTTATTATATTAGGGCCCGGGAGACCTGCGTCCAGGCAGGGAGGGAAACACCTCATTACACGTGTGTGGTGCTTGGCCATTTACACAGCCTTATTGTGTGTGTTATTCCTTTAATTTCCACAACGACCCTGCACAGTCTGCTGTTTCCTTTTTTAAATGTATTCTTATTGATTTCAGAGAGGAAGGGAGAAGGAGAGAGAGAGAGAGAGAAACATCAATGACGAGAGAATCATGGATCGGCTGCCTCCTACACATCCCCTAGAGCCCAAGACCTGGGCATGCGTCCTGACTAGGAATTGAACCGTGACCTCCTGGTTCCTAGGTCAATGCTCAACCACGGAGCCACCCTGGCCAGGCCCAAAGGGAATTTTCATGAGGGTTTCCGGGGAGAAGATGGACACTGTGATGCTCCTGAGAAACGCCTCAGCAAGCAGACACCAGATGCAAAATATTAATACAAACAGGCGGGAGCCTGAACAGCAACTCCCAACCACCCGTCGCGAGGGTCTCCTCGATGGCGGAACTTGGGGGCCGTGGCTGGGCAGGCAGGGGCTGTGCCTGGCCCTCCGAGAGTGCCCCTGTCCCCCACCGGGAGGGGCTGCTGTGGGTTCGCCCCGCCTGGGTGCGGAGGCCCCGGCCGCACCTCACCTTATCGGCCTGCCGCATGTAGCAGTACAGGATCCCTCGCATGCACTTCACGGCCGAGTGCTCCAGCTCGTGGGTCCGCCCCTTGTCGTCGTCGATGCGCCTGGCGGGAGAGATAGCTCGGGGAGGAGGGTGGAAACTGGGATGTGGGGAGGGATCAGAGCTTTCGATAATTGCCTATTTAGCTATCTGGCTAATCCCGCGTTCCGGCAGCATCCACTAAGTCCCTCACGGTGAAGCTCCGTTTTCCCGGCGGATGCAGAAATGCTGCCAGAAAAATATGTGAAAATCCCATGATGAAATTTATGCAGATTTCTCCTTCTCTTAAGGACGGAAGGCAATTGCTTTAAAAATAGCAGACAGTGTTTTCCACACGGACTTGGCTCAAATTTTAAGCGATGTTTCTATGTTGGAAAAATCTACCAGAAGATATTTTTAAAGCTCACTGTTTCAGGGTGGAGGCAGTTTTTAATATCACTCCCTTTAGGTTAGGCAATGGCCACTTGATTTCTGAACTCTCCATACAACTCTATTGATCTCTCTCTCTCTCTCTCTCTCTCTCTCTCTCTATATATATATATATATATATATATATATATATATATTAAAGGCCCAGTGCATGAAATTAGTGCATGGGGGGCAGAGAGGTCCCTCAGCCCAGCCTGCACCCTCTCCAATCCAGAACCCCTTGGGGGATGTCTGACTGCCGGTTTAGGCCCGATCCCATGGCAGTCGGACATCCCTTTTGCAATCCGGAACCACTGGCCCATAACCACTTGCCTGCCTACTGTCTTGATCACCACCTAACTGCTCCCCTGCAGCCCTGATCGCCCCAAACTGCCTCTGCCTCAGTCTGCCACCGTGGCTTTGTCTGGAAGTCGGACGATAGGAAGATGTCCAGGCTCCTGGTCTAATCAGCATATTACCCTTTTATTAGCATATATGTAAATATATACATATATATGTTTCATGCTAGTACCATACCGTTTGCCTATTATTTTGTTTTGATTTGTATTATAGTATTGACATCAGGGAGCCTGACCCCTCCCTCTCCGTACTTTCTCCAAGGTGCTCTAGCTACTTTGGATCCTCTGTATTCCGGATGCATCTTAGGACTCGTGCTCTCGTCTGAGGAGAAGCCGTTGGTTTCTAACAGGGCTGCACGCAGCTGTGTATTGCTGCAGGCACTAGGACTCTGGCACAGCAGCATGTGGCCCTGACTTCTCTCCCTCCCTCCCCCCATCTGTATCTTCTTCAAGTTCCTCCCCGTGGCAGCTCCTTCTGCCACCACCTATGCCGATGGCCGACCCAGAGGTGAGAATCTACGCTTGTGAAACGCTGAACCGTCTCGTGTACGCCGTAGGCAGACAGGAAGACACAGCTGACCCGGCGTCCTGAGGGAGCGCCCTCTCCCCAGAGGGCGGCGCACGCCGCTCACCTGTGCGCGAGGGCCACGGCCCAGGCGGCCGCGGCGCAGTACAGGCTATCCTGCACCCTGGCGTGCCGGTCCCCGCTGCAGGTCTTGGTGGGGAAGAGGCCGGTGGTGGGGCTCTGGTACAGCAGCACCGTGGCCTTGACTGCAAGGACAGGGACCACATGAGGACCAGCGACCCGAGGTCACGTCTGTATCTCGATGAGGTAGAGACGGTGACGCGAGGCTCAGGGCTGCCCGGGAGCCAGGCGTAAGCGAATGAGCAGCCAGCACGTGCACAAACCGGGCAGGTGCCCCAGGAAAGCCTCTGGAATGTTCCGGAAGGCTGAAGGGACACCAAAGACCCCGGTGACAGCGCTATAATTATTCCAGGGACGGATGTGACTGTTGGCTCCTTCTGCAGCCCCGGCCCCCCACGCCGCGGGCACAGAGCCGCCCCAGCACCACCGCCCAACCTCCCAGCGCGGGGGCATCCCGCGTGCCGTCCAGGGCATCCCCGGGGGAGCAGGCGCTGGCCCCGGCGGACGTGCGCCGCTCACCGATCCTGTAGAAACGGTCCAGCTTCTCCCACAGGCTCTCATGGTCGGGCTGCAGGAGGTGGATGCTCTTCAGAGGTTCGTACACGGAGCCTGCAGGGAGAGCAGCCTGTCACCCGGTCCTCCAGCCCGCGCACCAGGAAACTCCCAGCAATCTCACTCGGCGCTGCGGGGGACGCGTGGCTCACTACGGCTCGGGTTTGGGTGAAGCAGGGGGAGAAGAGAGCTCCCCTGCAGCGAGCCCGGGGGTCTGGCCGTGGGGAGATCCCTCCCCTCAACCCGCAGCCATCAACACCTCAAACAGCTCCTGTGCTCAGGGCCGGTCACCCGCCCAACCGTCTCCGTGCTGCCTGAGAAACACCCACTAACCTGCCCTGAGACCCACGCTGCAGCCACGCTGTGCTCAGCCGCACCAGGCCGGCTCCTGCCAGCCGCTCACACCGCCAGCGCCTGGGAGGGCAGGGCACCCGCCTCACACGCTGCAGGAGTCACCGTGACCAGGACAACTGGCCACTAAAGCGTTCACCTGGCCAGCGCACACGCTCAGAATGACGGGACAGAACCGGAGCCCGCAGCCAGGGCCTGGGGAAGGCCTCCGATCGCTGCTGAGCGCGCTCAGAACCACCGGCTCAGGGTCACGAGTCCACCTGGGCCGGGGAGCGCGAGTCAGTCTGACGCCGGCACAAGAACAAACCTGTGATCTGCCTGGTTTCCGCTTGCACAGGCGTGTGACAGCCCCTCGGGGCCACAGAGCCACCCCAATGTCCCGCGACGCTCCTATTATGTAAGAAGATACTCTTCCTATTGAGGCGTTGGACGCATTGCGAATTAGTTTCCTAAACTAACTTAACGTAGGAAGTCAAGTCCGTGCATTTTTAAGAGATCAAATGGGCCCCTCCTTTTTTTTAGGTTACAAAATATTGAATAGAAAGATCCTTTTATCCTAAATTCTAAGCAGAGAGCATCCCAAATTATGGGATTCAAATGGGCCATTTCCTCTTGAAAGAATTGCAATTTCATTTCCAAATCAACATCGGCACCGTAGTATGTGATAATGCAGCATTGGGCCTGAATACATTTTCTCAGATGTAGCAGTGTTACGTAAGATCTCAAACCTGCCATGGACGTGTGACATTTGCCAAAGGCCTCGACAACAGGCAGCTTTTGTGGCTGCATAACGGTCTCTCAAAACCGCCACGCCTGGGGCAGCTCACCCCATCTGCATACAGGATCTCAGGGTGCCCTGGGTACTGTGGACTGTCTGCGACCCACCCACATCCCAGAATCTGTGGTGAGGGGCCACCCGCAGACTCCCACAGGCAGACACATTGAGAAAGGCGTCTCCTGGCTACAGGGACCTGTTTTTGCTAAGAGATCTGAATGCACTAAGCATGCCTCAGCACTTTGAGCATCTCCAAGGTCACCAATCTCTCCTTGCAAAGCAAAGAAGCAAAGTGCAAACCATGATTTCCTTTACTGTCCAGTTGGTCCATGCACAGGAACTGAAACATTAAGAAATAAATGGTGGGGGGCGGGGGGTGGGGGGACGAATAAATGGTGGCACCTCCATTCAACGAAATACCTTAAACAGTGAAGGGATGAAGTAGATCTGTTTGTAATACCAGGAGAGACCCCAAAAATATAGTGTGAAAAGGTAATGTCAGAGACCAAGGCATAGAGCATGATGCTATGTGTTGCAAGCTAAGCAAAAAGGATTACATGTGTGATTTTACAAATGCATATGAACATGTAGATAAACAACATACTTTGAAAAGTTTGGGACATACACCGAATGGGTCAAAAAGGACTGCCACCAGGAGAGTGGCTTTTACTCTGTGTTTCTGATGGTCTAAAAAAGCTTATGTAATAGGGTATTCGTTGATATGCCAAAGCAATACTTCATTGATTACAGCTCCTTGGACAATGGAAACTAAAGAGAAAATAAACAAATGGGACTACATCATAATAAAAAGCTTCTGCATAGCAAAGGAAACCATCAACAAAACAACAAGAAAGCCCACCGCTAGGGAGAGCACATTTGCCTGTTATCACCGATAAGGGTTTATAGTCTCCAACATTTACAGGAACTCACACAACTTAACAAAAGGAAGATAAACAACCCAATCAAACAATGGGCAACGCACCTAAATAGATACTTTTCGAAAGAAGACAGAAGGAAGGCCAAGAGACATATGAAAAAAACATGCTCAGAGTCACTAATCATCTGAGAGCTGCAAATCAAAACAACAATGTGGTACCACCTCACACCTGTCAGAATGGCTACCGTCAACAAATCAGCAAATTCCCCAGCGAGGATGTGGAGAAAAAGGAAGCCCCATGCACTGCTGATGGGAATGCAGACTGGTGCAGCCGCTGTGGAGAACAGTATGGCGTTTCCTCAAAAAACTGAAAATGGAACTCCCATTTGACCCAGTGATCCCACTCCTAGGAATATATCCCAAGAAAACAGAAACACCAATCAGAAAGGGTATATGCACCCCTATGTTCATAGCAACACAATTCACCATAGCTCAGATTTGGAAACAGCCTAAGTGCCCATCAGCAGAGGAGTGGATTGGAAAACTGTGGTCCATCTACACTATGGAATACTACGCTTCTGTAAAAAAGAAGGAATTCTTAACATTTGCAGCAGCATGGATGCACCTGGAGAGCATTATGCTAAGTGAAATAAGCCAGTCGGAGAAAGATAAATATCACATGTTCTCACTCACTTATGGACAATAAAGAACATTATAACCTGATGAGCAGAAATAGAAACAGAGTCAGAGAAGCATCGAACAGACTGTCCAATGACAGCGGGAAGGCTGGGGAGGGTTGGCGGGCGAGGGGGAGGTAAGAAATCATCTTAGGTGACCCTGCTAGCGGTTCTCAACCTGTGGCTAGCGACCCCTTTTCAGGGGTGGCTTAAGTCCCTCGGAAAAGACAGATATTTACATCACGATTCATTAACAGTAGCAAAATCACAGTTAAGAAGTAGCAACGAAAATAGTTTTACGGTTGGGAGTCACCACACCATGAGGAGCTGTGTTAAAGGGCTGCGGCATCAGGGAGGTTGAGAACCGCTGCTCTAGATGATGGAGAGGCACCGGGGACGTCAGGTGACCAAGCCTTCAGAAAGCGCAGGACGGCGAGGAAGAGGCCAGCGGCGACAGGGGGTCTCTGTGGTTACAGCATTAAGGTGGGATGGCAGCCTCGCCTTGAGCGTTGTCCCAGGTACTGAGAGGTCACAGTTTGACTCCCAGTCAGGGCACAGGCCCAGGTTACCGGCTCCATCCCCAGTCAGGCGTGTGCAGGAGGCAGCCAATCGATGGTTCTCTCTCTCTCTTTCTCTCTCCCTCTCCCTTCCTCTCTCTCTCAAAATCAATAAAAACGTGTGTTTCTTAAAAAGACAGTGAGAGCAGGGTGGCAGAGAGGAGGGCTGCGCAGGAAGGGCTGGAGCGGTGGAATAAACAGGACGGAGAACGGCTTACACTCGGGGCAGGTCTTGGGCACCAGAGCCAGCACGGCTCAGTGGGACGCGGCAGGAGAGACTCCGAGGACCCCGTCTAATCCTCAGATGGCTTTTATTCCTTTAGATTATTATAACTAACCCTCCATCCTGCCAGGATTTTTTATCCCGGCGGTTATCGAACAAATGATAATTATCGAAGCTACAAGCCTATTGAGAATCGGGATTAAGTGGGTATAACAAATTAATTGAGCATCGCGATGCATTTCCCTGTGAACAAGGGTCTCTGAACTGAAAGAAACAGCAGATAAAAATTCACAGCGAAGTAAAGATAATTACCCTCCGAAATATGGAAGCTAAGAAAACAGCTCTCCTTGTGAATGCCTCTATTTTAGAGACATTGACCAGAAGCCCCTGTGCCCGGCAGACCGTCTTAAAGGTTTAATATGAAGGTGGCATGGAGGTCTGAGACCAACTCGCTGAGACGAGCCGCATTTAAAAGGGCCTCGATTGGAACGGAAAAACCCCCATCGAAGCGGAGAGAGAGTCCGTGGGGATGATGAATACCCCCGCCGATGCCCCGCAGAACACCACGCACAGCTGCGCAGAGGGGATTCCTGGCAGTCCCTGTGAAATAAGCAGGCCGGGCAGCGGGAGGGCCTGGAACGGCCCCCAGGGGGCAGCCCCCTCCTGCCTGCAGCCTGAGCAGGGCCTCCTTCCTCCAGGCTCCTCCCCGGGTTCCCAGGTTCCCACGCGCGGCCCGTAGCCCACCGCAGCACCCCTCGGCCAGCCCTGGCCCCTGGCCCTCCCCCCCGTGCCGCTCGCTCCACCCCAAGGTCCTCTCCTAGCGCCCACCCGAGGTTTTGTGTGACCCCCACTTCCTCCTCCAGCTCAAACGCCCCTTCCAGAGAGGCCTTCAGCCAGGTCCCCCAGCCCCAGCCCTGCAGGAGACGGGAGGTGATGCCGGGTGGTCAGCAGGGGCGGGCCAGGCGGGCCCGGCGCTGCCGCCTCCGGAGCTGGCTGTATCTCACATGACACGTCTCTCACTCCAGCGGCTGCTCGGAGGGCAGATGCCAAAGCGAGGGAAGGAGAGAAGCACTCGGGGTCGGTTTGGGTAAATCCTCACTCATGAATACACATCAGCAACACTGGACAGGACAGGTGTTTTTAGGAAAGATAAGAGCATATTTTAAATGTACTGGCCAGCTCCTTAACATCAAGTGTGTCTTTACATTATATAGCATCGTATTTAATCCTTGCAACAATATCTTGGGGGGGGGGGGGAGTATTGTTATCTTTATTTTTACGGACAAGGAAACCAAGTCTCAGAAAGGTACCGTCTCATCACAACACTGTGAACCTGGAACTGATACAACATTGTGTGTCGTCTGTGATGGGAAATCTTAAAGTTAATCCGAGAAGAAAGGGAGGGAGGGAGGGAGGGAGGGAGGGAGGGAGGGAGGGAAGGAACGGGGAGGGAGAGAAGAAGAAAGGAAGGGAAGGAGGAAGAGAGGGAGGGAAGGAGGGAGAGACGGATGGAAGGAAGCTAGGCCTTCAGCTCTCTCGGGGTTCCAGCGGTTGCACAGAGCAGCGATCGATCCTCAGCCACATCCGATGGACGCATTAGCAGTCCGAGCACAGCACAAGCCCCGCACGGAATGCAGGACACACGCTGCAGCCACGAAAGCGCAGACACAGACAGAACTGCGGGCCGTTCAGAGGGACAGAGATGATTAAACACGCTAAACCATCTGGGTGCGATGGGGAGGGGTTTTCCAGAAGCAGGACCCTGGCTTTCCGCTGGGCCAGGAACAGCGGGGCTGTGGGCCCGGGCTTTGAAATGCCGTTCAATGGTGCCAGACACTCGCCTCCGAGGAGCTGCCGTGGGGAAACGATCGTTCCCAACGGAAACACGGCATCTCTGAGGGAGCCACCGGCCGCACCTGCGCCCCCGCGGCCCTACTGTGACAGACGGGCGTTTCCCACGGGACTGACTTCGGAGTCCTCCGTCCTCGCTGGAGAGGCCCCTCCAGGAAGCATCCACGTCGCGAGCCCAGGCTAAGGGAGAGTCACGCAGTGGCCAATGGCGGTGGCGGGGGGCTCGTTCTGTTCTGCGCTCGCCGCGTTCTGTTTCCGTGTAACGGCGCGGCACTGGGACAGCCTCCTGTGTGTGCTGTGCAATGTCACAGCCGCTGGAGGAGTGGAAACTTCCAGGACTGCCGAGGCGGGAAAGCCTGCCTCAGAGTTAGCATTTCTATTTCCCCATAACGGCGAGACCTGCAAACGCCCCTGCTCCTGCCGGCCCGCCAAAATGGGAACGAAAGAAGACACAGCCCAAAGACAGACAGACAGACAGACAGACAGAGAGCCAGAGGCCCTCTTGCTCACTCAGTTCAAAGACCAAGTCAGACGTCGAATACTGGCAATGCCGTGTTATTCAGCGGATGGCCACTGAAGGCAAGAACTGTTTTCCTTCCTCGATGCAGAAGCTTTTTTATCTCCCGGGAATGAATCTTCCCTGAGCTATTTCTTATTTCTTCCCTCCCCACACACACCCCAAGATCTTTCTCCTCCATGGTGCCAAACCAGGATGGGAAATGTAAATGAAAATAAACGGTTACAGAGAAAACGGAACGTTCACGATCACTTTTTGGCTGGCTCACCCCACATTCACCTAGTGATGGGTCCTGAGGGCTAGACGTTCTTCTCATACATATTTTATTTCGGAGAGGAAGGGAGAGAGAGAAACCCATGATGAGAGAGAATCATGGACCGGCTGCCTCCTGCACCCCTCACTCTGGGGATCAAGCCCGAAACCTGGGCCTGTGCCCCAACGAGGAATTGATCCGTGACTTCCTGGTCCATAGGTCGATCTCAACCCCTGAGCCCTGCCAGCCAGGCGAGGCGAGGACATTCTGCTTAAGGTCCCTAAGGGACAAAGCACACGCTGGCCGCAGGCTTCTCCCGGAAAACCCAAGAGCTCCAGCCTTCACGTCGGGCCACGGCCCCTTCCCTGGCCGCACCCCAAGCCTGGGTTCCGAACGGGTGTGACCCTCCTCCGACCAGTTCAACACCCATGGGGGGAGCTCCACAGCCCCCGTCCAGCTGGCGAGGGGTCTCACCACCACGACCGTCTCAGAGCTGCTGTGCCCACCTCGCCCCCCACCCTCCTGCCAAGCGTACCGCGTGGCTGTGAAGCCCACGTCTCAGGACCTGGGCCGGCTGCTTCCTCTTTTCACCAAGGGAGCTTCCCCTTCCTGACTGAGAACGTGTGAACGTGCTCGCTGCACGGCGAGTCCATGCTGACCCAGGCCCTAACGGTGTGGCTCAGTGGATAGAGCATCAGCCTGTGGACTGAAGGGTCCCAGGTTCGATTCCGGTCAAGGGCATGTACCTTGGTGGCGGGCACATCCCCAGTAGGAGGTATGCAGGAGGCAGCTGATAAAGTTTCTCTCTGATCAATGTTTCTAGCCCTCTGTCCCTCTCTCTTCCTCTCTAAAAAAAAAAAAAAATCAATAAAAAAAATTTTTAATAGTAATAATAAATAATAATAGTAATTGGGACTCTGACTGAAAACTTCTAACTCTGGCAAACTTATTTCCGTGACGCAAGAAGACAAAAATCATTTAAGAAGCTTCTTATATACCCGTTTGACAGCCGTCACTTTTGCACCCATTTGACAGCCGTCACTTCTCACCCCCGCACGCCCCCCCACGGGCCGGGCCACGTTCAGCACACAGCGCCCACGCAGCCTCGCCAACCGGAGCGGGACCCGGGACCGCGGTGTGCGGGCATGGGCCCGCCAGACGGCGGCATCAAATTTCAGAAACAAAGGGAAGTAAAACTACCCCCCCCCGGGGGGGGGGGGCGGGGGGGGGGCGCTCCACACTTACCAGACCTTAAGAAGGCTCGGGGAGACGAGGCGGCCGCGTCAGGCGGGCTGGCCATGTCAAATGGTCGCCTCTGACCACAAGCGTCACAGGCTAAACCACAGCCATGTCCACAGCTGTTTAGTGGGGGTTAGAAGCAATCACGGTTAGGATCATTGGAAGCAGGGTGAGCAGGTATTAGCCCAGGATGCCGAGCGCGACGAAGGCCGTCAATCAACGTTCGTTACCATCGTGTGCTCTCTCTATGATTTGGAAAAAGCGCCTGGCGCTCGGGTGGCCTGTGTGGGTTGGGCAGGAACAGGTACTGTCCACTGGTGGCGCATCACGTGACCAGGCGGCTATGCAACAATGCTCAGAACTCTGCGGGGACCTCGCCACCAGAGCCGGAGTAGCCCACGCTGCAAAGCTCGGGTCCTACTTTCTTCTAAAAGCAACAGGCCCCGGGCGGGTTGTGTTTAGTGACACGGGACGTCGATGGTTCACTCAAGAAGCATCAGAGTCTCGTGCTCCTTCAGAGTCAGCAGAAGACGCTGAAACCCCAACTAACGGGGAGCAAGGACTTCGAGGGGTACCTCTCCTACCGCCGCCATGCAAGCAAGGGAGCAGGCGATGTCTGGAGCATGCACCGAGCCGCTGTGCACGTGAAACGGGGCAGACGAGGCTGCATTCCACGGGGTTAAATAAAGCTGGGATGTTCCCTCTCGGTTAAGAAAGAGAAGGTAGGTCTTCAGAGCTCACGGTTATGACATGCATTTCAGAGGAAATAAAGATGAGAAGAAAATCAACCCCCCCACCCCGACACGTGCTTAGGAAAGGGAGAGAGAAATGCTTTGAAAACATGTTGAGGGCAGAGCTCAGCTCCCTGCGAGAAAAAAAAACCCAGTTCCTCTCTGTGACCAGAGAGCATCCATCCAACAAGAGACAACGAAGAATGTCACGCACGGCAAGAAGGCTGCATCGGAGCACCATGTTGGCGGAGGCAAAACCATTCTGAACACCGATGCCAACTGCGGGGTTCGCGCACCTCTGTTCTTCCATTAGCCACGCTGACATTAGCGTCTCCCAGCTCCGACCTGCAGCAACCCGGGTCCTTCCAAAGGGAAGGCTGTGGGGTGAGGGGGGGAACCCCCTCTCCGTCCCGCTTACAGGCACGCTTTCCGCTCAGGGCGCTCAGCCCTGGCTCCGGGCTGCAGGGTCGTGACTGTGCAATTTGAAGGAGTCAGCTCGGGACACTGGAGCTGCTGGGGCTGCTTGCACGGCCTGGGGTGGGCGCACCCCGGGGGCCCCCCGCCTGGGGAGGGCACCTGCTTCCTTAGGAGCCCTAACTGTGCTCCCCGGAGCCCTCTTCGTGGCCTGGGCCCTGTCCCCCAACATTTTTGCCGCCAAGATGACCTGGCTGGGGCTCAGGATTCGGGGAGGAGTGCAAAGAGGGATGTGCAATAAGGCAGCCAGCAGGGAGAGAGAAAGCAGGAAGCAGATGTGAGATAAGGCGGCGAGCGGTTCCATTCACGTCGGGGGGTGAGGAGGGGGAAGGGGTGCAGCCACCGGCTTTGGGGAGGGACCCACATCAGGCCTTTCCTAACCAGGAACGGGGTCGCCGCCTGGTTTCTGGGGGTCACACAGGGGTCACGTTAGAGCATCCCCTCATTTCTAGTGGGGGCAGGGGGAGACCTCGGGCGGAAGGCCGGGCCGCCGGCCGCTTTCTGAGGGGCCCGCGGCGGACAGAGGTTCGCGCCGGGACCCCGCTGCCCCCCGCCCCAGGCGATCGGGGGAGGGGGCGCCCCGGCCCGCAAACCTGAGCGCTTGGCCCGGGCCCTCTGCTCCAGGACCGTCCGGCTCACTTCGGCCATCAGCCCCGCCGCCCCCGCCATCGCGCCGGGGAGGCCGTCGTGCCCGCCGCCCCCGGCCGCCGCCTGTCAACTCGCCGGCAGGCCCCGCCCCCCGCGCGCGACACTGTCGCGAGGACGCCGGCCGGAAGTGAGCGCGCGGGCCGGTCCCGCCCGAGCCGCGGCCTCGCGACCGTCGGAGGGCGGGCCGCGGGGCGGGGGCGGCGGGCCGGGGCGGCGGCGGGGCCGGGCGGGCGGCGGAGCGGAGGCTTCGGCTGGGGCGGCGGCGGCGGTACTTTACGGCTGCCGTCAAGCGCGGCGGCGCGGCGGCGGGCGGGGCCGAGGCGGCCATGGCGGCGGCGGGCCGGCATGCCGGGCCTGTGGGCGCTGCTGGCGCCGCTGCTCGGGGCGCTCGCGCGGCTGGGGGTCGGGCCGGCGCCGGCGGGGGCGCTGCACAACGTCACGGCCGAGCTCTTCGGGGCCGAGGCCTGGGGCACCGTGGCGGCCTTCGGGGACCTCAACTCCGACAAGCAGACGGACCTCTTCGTGCTGCGAGAAAGTCAGTGCCCGCCGCCCCCTCGGCCGCGCCCCGTGTCCTCCCGGGGTCCCCCTCACCCCTTGCCCGCGGGCTGGGCCCCTGGGTCGCCCAGACCATCTCCCCTTACCCCCAGACCCCTGACAGCTTGCCCGTCCCTCCATCTCCCCCCACCCTCCCAGGTCCTGGCGGGGTCCCCCACAGTGTGATCTGACCCACAGCCCTGCAGACACCCCAGTTTCCCCCCAGAGGCCGGCCCACCCTCGTCCTCCCTGGGATCGCCTGCCTTCCGAGTCCTCCCTGGTCCCCAGGAGTGTGGGCCTGCGCTCCTCCCAGGCCCCATTCCTTCCTGCTTCCCCCTCGCTCCTCCTTCCCGTCACCTGGGAGTGCACCCTGACATCTGTGCTCCGTGGGCTTCTCCCCGCCTCCCTGTGTGCCCCACCGGCCCCTCCCGTCACCGGCAGCTGCTGGCCCCTCCAGCGGCCTCACCTCTCCACGGCCGACGGGCGGCTGCTGAGCCCCTGGGAAAGGGCTGTCCACCGCCAACTCACCCCGCTCCGGAGCCTTCGGGCCTGTCGTGTGCGGGGGTCACGCTCCTGTCTTCCATGCCATTGCTCTCTTTGCCAGCCTACCTGAGGTTCTTGGGAGCTCCTTGCTCTCACCATCACTACGCCAAGTTTTTGTAAATCTCGGTGCTGACCGTGGTCCTTACAGGGTCGTGGCATTCTCAAGAACCCATAGGACCAGGTGCTGTTTAAGGTCAAGGCCAGGAAGACAGGAATGGAGGGCTTATGACAGATGGGATCCCGGCCCAGATTTCGATTTCTTGGGGCCCCTGCCAGGCCCAGGACCTCCTGTGGACCCGGATGCTTCCCCTGTCTTTGTGGGATCCCATATGTTGCAGGAAGGGTGCAGGCTCCCGCACCTGTAGCTACTCCCTCCAAACTGGGCGCCGTCTGGTCTTGCCACGTTCAGGGTGGCTCGGGTCTGAGTCCCTAAAGTCCGTGCCAGCGGCTGCTCACTGAGCTCCAAGGTGGCCTCGGCCTGGAGAAGAGTCCGTGGGAGCCCCGAGAGGAGGGTCTGGGAGGATTCGGCTTGTTCTGCCTCAACACGAACCCGTGTTCTTGTGAGAGCCCTGGAGTCCCATGTCCTTCCGGTGACGCGTCCGACGGACTCAGCAGCCTTCACAAGGGGCCCCGGGGTCCGGTTTGGGGGGACAGGGCTGACGTGTAGTCATGAGGCGCGTTATTTAAGGCGACCGATCCGACTTCTGGCGGAGTCCTTCCCCGCTCCGGTTTGTCTCGTCCGGCTGCCTTTCCCATGTCCACCCCCACCCCCACCCCCGGACCTCGGATTGGTGATGGGCCCTAGGGCTCTCCGCTCCGTCAGACTCAGGGGCTGACCTCAGAGGGCAGGTGGCCTGGGGCCAAAGGAAAGCTTTCTTGTTGAGAAAGTGCCCGGGAACACGGACTGGAGCCTTCTTCCGACACCCTGTTCTCTCCCTTTAGAAAATGATCTCCTCGTCTTCCTGGCGGACCAGAGCGCGCCCTATTTCAAACCCAAAGTGAAGATTTCCCTGAAGTAAGTCCACATGGACGTGTTTCCCTGTAACGGGCATCAGTGTCGTGAGGGACAGGCGGTCGCTGGTTGGGTGGTCTTTGCGTTCCGCGGCACCCAACTGTGACGCTGGCACAGAACCACTGGTGATGAGGTCTGAGTCGGAGGTCATTTGTTTGGAGAAATAGTGGCTGCAGCAAAGGTTGCAAATGATTCACTTTGAAAGGAAATAGAAGTCGGCGGGTCCAGGTCTGACCTGGCAGTCCCCTCTCATTACCTCGCTGTCTAGTCTGCTCTCCCGCGTGTGTTGGGACGGCCTGACCCTGACCCTGACCCTGACCCTGAGGGTCCTGGGAGCAGCTCGCTCACAGGCTTGTCAAGTCAACTTTGTTTGGGAGGGGGAGGGGGGACCTGGGGGGAGAGAGTCCTTTGCACTGGAGAAAAGATCAATGACCTCTGTTCTTATTTTCTTTTTTTTAAATATATTTTTATTGACTTCAGAGAAGAAAGAAGCGGGAGAGAGAGAGAAACATCCATGATTGGAGAGAATCATGGATCGGCTTCCTCCTGCACACCCCACACAAGGGATTGAGCCCAAAACCCTGGACATGTGCCCTGACCGGGAATCAACCAGTGGCCTCTTGGTTCTTGCCTCGATGCTCAACCGCTGAGCCACACCGGCTGGGCACAGTCTTGTTTTTGAAAACCACCCTGCGTCCATCCTGAATTCCTCTGTAGGCCCCAGGGGCCTACGACACGGATGCTGATACGAGCAGAGCACGCCGGGAGCCGGCTCTGCATCGGGACTAGATGCGGTGCATCCACAGGGCCGTGTTTGCTCTCGGGGCCCGGCCGGTGGCCGGTGGCTCACGCGCCTGTCTCCGCAGGAACCACAGCGCCCTGATCACCGGCGTGGTGCCGGGGGATTACGACGGGGACTCGCAGATGGACGTGCTGCTGACGTATCTCCCCAAGAATCATGTGGACGGCGGGCTAGGCGCTGTCATCGTCTGGGGGAGAAACCAGACCTTAGGTGAGTTGTCTTAGGGGTTTTTACTATTTACCAGTGGCTGAGGAAGGGTATTCTTATGTAGCAAAAGTTTGTTCTCAAGTCAGATTTTTTTTTTTTATTATTGCAGTTCTTGAGTGTCAGTAATTGTTTGTAAAAAAAAAAAAAAAAGTCCATTTTCTTATTTTTCATTCTCAGCCTAGACCTGTTCTGAGGTCAGTTCCAGAAAACAAAAAACTCAGTCTGGATACTAAGGAGATTTATTAGAGGGTATTGATGGCTGAAGAGCACACTGTAGGTTGAACTTTCTGGAACAATCCCCAAAGACTTCAAGAAAGGGACCATTTGCACAGCACCTGCCGGACGCCACTGTGCCCGCCCACTGGGATTCTGCCCCGCCCACTGGTGCCCGCACCTGCCCCCTGAGACTCACAGTGCGGTCATCAGGCCCCAGGAGACCTGCAGGCCCCGCACACCTGCCTTCCAGGACTCCCAGCACGGAGGAGGGGTGGGGAGGGGGCGCCTCGGTGCTGGGCTGGCTGTGAGGGCGGAGCAGGGTTGAGAGTCAGGCCATGGCCCCTCCCAGCCCCTCCAGTCTCATCTGAGCTCCAGTTCCTCCTGGGGAAGCCGGCAGCTCTGCTCCGGAGGGGCCGTGGTGTTGTCTGTCACGTGGGCATGAGGACCGGACTCTCCTGCTTCAGAGGCCGCCCGGCAGCGCGGACCTGAAGGAGGAGGCCCGTGCGGTGGGGCAAGGGGAGCGCAAGTGGAAGTTAGGGTCGGGCCGGTCATCCCTGTGGCATGAACTCGCCTGGCGGTTTGTCTTTACAAACCGGCTGTCGGTTTGAGTTCTGTTTAGAGCCGTGGTCGGCAAACTGTGGCTCGAGAGCCATATGCGGCTCTTTGGCCCCCCGAGTGTGGCTCTTCCACAAAATACCACGGCCTGGGCGAGTCTATGCTGAAGAAGTGGCGTTAGAAGTTTAAGTTAAAAAAAAAAAAATTGGCTCTCAAAAGAAATTTCCATCGTCCTGTTGATATTTGGCTCTGGACTAATGAGTTTGCCGACCACTGGTTGAGTGTCTCCATGGTGGTAAGAGTTGGAATTCGTTAGAGACGAATCTTGAAAATGACGGAAAGACTATCTTCTCCTCCGGGAACATATAGAAAGTAACGCCGAGTGCCTGTACAGTGTGTGCGCTTTCTTCGCAGATCCTCACAACATGACCATGCTCAATAGGACTTTCCAAGATGAACCTCTGATTATGGAGTAAGTATGCGTTTGCTTCCCTTTGAGTCATTTTAAACTTACAACCATAACATAACATTTTTCACATAAAAAACTACTGCCCGGCCAGTGTGGCTCAGCAGTTGAGCATCGACCTATGAACCAGGAGGTCACAGTTCGATTCCCGGTCAGGGAACATGCCTGGGTTGTGGGCTTGACCCCCAGTGGGGGGGGCATGTAGGAGGCAGCAGGTCCATGGTTCTCTCTCATCATTGACGTTTCTCTCTCTCTCTCCCTCTCCTTCTTCTCTGAAATCAATAAAATATATATATATATTTTTAACTACTTTGCTAAGTAGTATTGACACTAAATTCATTCTCCCTTTAAAGCTGAAAAGGGCCTGGCCTCGGTGATACGGTGTTTGTTAGCCATGATGAAGGAAAGAGGAAAACGAAATTCAGTATTTTTGAAAGAAAAGGACATTTGTGTTTTCTTTCTGTGTCAGTCGTTTTGATTGTGTCTCTTACGAATCCAGGGTGATTCCAGCCATGTCATTAATCAGAGAATTAAGAGAACTGCTTTTGGGTAAAACTATTACTACGTCACGGACGGATATCCAGGGTACAGGGTTTCCTCCAGTGATTTGCACGGGTTTTTACATTTAGGAGAAACGTGTGTCCTTTTTCACAGCTCTTCCTCAGTGTTAGCGCTCATTTCCTCAGGACAGACCCAGACAGGGATAAAATGAACCGGAGTCAGGGTTGTCGGTAACGCGGTGGAGATCACTG